GTAACAGACGGAAAGGAGGTGGGTGAGTGTGGGGATATAATCACATATAAGGCTTGCAAGGGGAAACACAACATGTCAGTGCATCCGCACAAACTGTTCTTTATTCTTACAGCTTTTGAAGATAAAAATCTTGTTCTGTTGAAATCCAGATGCAGGTGAAAGAGTCTGTAAAACACCTGGCCCTCTGATTCAGCTGTCTTTCTAGCTGAAATGACACCCCAGCAGCAGGATGCTGGCTGCATTTGCTTCAGTGTAAAGACGAAAAGCCAGCATAATAAGGCTCTTCTTAACCGCAGTATAATAGGATCTCTATTTGAATCTGGCTTTTGTTGACTGCTGAAAGACCCTGTAGATTAGACCTACTAGGTCCAGGGGTGGCCTCCCATGTGCCTTGGAGAGCCTACAGTTGCTAGGTCTTTACTCCAGTGGATTACCTCAGCAGGTAATTTCACATGTGAGTTATTATCCTCTAAAGGGATGTTAATCAGTGGGTGGAGTCTTCTGTTGGAGTGGAAGCTTGCCTACTGTTGTCTCTCTTAGTGCCCAGTTTGCCACCCCTTGTCAACATTAAAAGTGTTACCGCCCAAAGGAAGCGTGGGAGCAGTGTGTTTCCCCTAGTGACTGAAAACGCTACCATCCCCCACCGTTTGCTGACCTACATTTACTCTCACTCACTCACTGAGCAATGCAGAAGACAAAAACACAAATGGTTGTCGTGATTACCTGGGTGGAAATCATTATTTATCATCCCGCTCCCTTTCCACCATCCCCCTCTCCCGTTCCCATCCCCCACTTTCTCTCACACTCCCTCCCTCCCCCCTCCAGACTGCAGCCCAACCAGAAGCTTCAAAGGCGGGTTTTACTCAGCAGAGCAGTTCAAGAGAAAATGGCTGCTGTTTCCAGGTCTTGTTTGCACATCTGTCAGGGGGTGACTGTTCAGGCGAAAATGGGGTCTGTGGTATGCAGGTTTTTAACATCATTGTTTTCAAAGCTACATGTGTAGAGGATGAGTGCTTGTTTATTGTATTTTCGTCTAAAATGTCTGCCTATGCAGATCCCATTGGATTTTTTAAGAGAATGGACGGGTGATTAGCAAGGCCGTCCCCATGTAGTTCGCTTTGCATGAAATTGTTAGTTTGTTGAAACGGGCACTGCCGTAATAGTCAAAATAGTTGTCATTGCCATCAGTGGTATGTCTTCAACGTGTATTTGAGGTGATTAAACAAGGTTAAGCCTGCTATTTTTTCTTTCCATACTGTATTTTTGCTTGGGGAAATGGCAAGCAGGTTTTCAAACTCAACTATTCCAGTATTGGTTTTATTTGCCAACGAGGACATTTTTGGCAATCTTTCAGATGTTGCACAATATTCCTTCGTGTTAGGAATCCCAACAACCCAATCAACCCCCCTCCCCCCACACCATGCTAAAGAAATACAGCCTACTTTTTATTTTCTGTGTGACTTGCCTGGCCAGTTTACCCAAACCACAACCTTTGTCCTACTGTCACAGCCTGCACTCAAATGACCTTTAGTCAGCAAGTTCTTTTTGTTACACTGACTATTGGATATTTCTGAAAGTTTTTGATAGCTCCCTCCCCCAAAAAACCCCCATAAATAAATAAAAACATGATGTTCCTCCTCTGAACATAGTAAAGTACAGGCTACTCTGGAGAGATTGTCTAGTTCAGGGTAACATTTTAACCTTGCATGTTCACATGACGTACTATTGTAAATGTTTGAATCTAAATACACGTTAAATAGATTAGGCATGGGTACATCCTGTATCAGTTCTTTAACTGGAAGCATTCAGCCTGTATTATTGCCTTTAATCATGGTGTGTTACGATTTTGGAAGCTGTTGGCTGTCTTACCAGGTTCAGACCTCACATTTCAGGGTTTTCAGGTTGTCCACAGCACACAGTGTGCTTAGCATTGAAGCCCATATTCTTACTATGTGACTGATCTACAGCAGAGGGTTACAATCCCTGATTTAGCTCCGGACTCATCTGTCTAATCTTTATCACGCAGTCTCAGCCGCCATGGGGGCATTAACTCTGCAGTGTACACAAGACTGGTAGCTCCTGTTTTTTTTTCTTTCTTTTTTTCTGTCACGTGCTTGATGTAGAGAACCGACAGTCTCATTCCACAGCTTCAGTCTCACAGGCTTGTGAGAATAGGACACACTAAAAACATCAAAGGCTTGTCGTCATTCTGGCCTAAGCTTCCTGAGCATGGCGTGGTCTGCACGCGAGTTGTCATGCTCTATTTAGCTGTCCTAGGTTTTGCCTTACCTCCCTAGAAGACATCTTCACTGAGGGCTCGCTGTCCTTTACTAAACTCTTTGAAAACACCAAAAAATCCACTATTCTAGACTCTAAAAATCTGTCAAATGGGAACTGATTGCTGATTTATGTCATTTTTTGTAATATATTATTTGATGAATGTGGTGGTTTCCAAATCTCAGTGGAATGGGCTGAAATGGAGAGTTTAGAAGGTTATGTTTAGAAGCCTTTCCGGTTAGTATCGGTGCAACCTTGTTTGTTTTCTTTCTTTGAAGGATGACTGCTGTTAATTGCTGAAAAACTGCAATAAACATCCTAATGAGCCATATATCCCCAGCAGGGATCCCCATCATTGACCCATTAGCCTTTTTTCTTCTTGTTGTTTTTTTTTTCAGCTTAACCTCTGGTCTTTCTTCTCTACAGTCGTCTGTTTACATGTGTAAAACATTTCCAGTTGTGTTTTTCGATCAATTTAATTGGTCCTGAAAGGTGTTTAATATGAGCGTGCATACACTGCACCAGTGGCACTGTTCTCCTTTCTGTGTGTTGTGTGAAGGGTTGTAGTGTAGTCTCTTCAGAGCTCAGGATAAGAGCAGGATTTCAATGTCATTGATTGATGTGTAGTCACGGTAAATCAACACACTATTATTTATCTGGTAATGTTGTTTGCAGAATGATTCATTGACCAAATGTTGAAATTGTGTTGCAAACAGTGAATGCCTGTTGGGCCCTTGAATTGAATCATGCCTTTTTAAAAGATTTTCTCAAATACACTAATACAGAACATTGGAACAGATGGGATTGAATTTATTTTGTGCTTGAAGTGAATAGTTTCACTCTGTTGGATGGAACGTTATCGGCTCACCCTTTGTATGTGTTTTGTTTCCACCCTGGGGCACGACTGTGGATCTCTTTTACCTTCCGTGTGTGAAATGATTCATATTGCTATAGCAACCTAAGCTACGAGGATTGGATTGTGTATGGGTCATGTAGTTTACCAGCAACGTGTTCACATCCTCTTTTTGTTCCTCATTCTTAGTGACTGTGCGTGTTGCCTTTTCTTTGTAGCTTTTTTTACAGACCTGTTGTAAATCCTGCCTTCTAGAAATTTCACACCCGTGTCCTGCCGAACACGGTTCACAGAGTTGGCTTTTCAAGCACGTGGTCATTTTTGGAAGCAATCGCTTGTGGTAAAGAGGAACAGTGTCAGACTTTGTCTTCACTTATCACTTCAGTGGATAAACTGTTTCAGCGGTTAGCACAGCGTCTGGTTTCTTGCGAGGCCCATTGTTTGGTGCGAGGAGTCTGCAATGCGAGGGGAGTTGTGTAATGGAGTTGTGTGGCAACATGGGCCCATCTGATAGAGGGATTATGGCTGCAGCCTCGCTCTGATGGGACCTGAGCCCCCTCCAGGCTGGCTGTTAATTACATTTCCAGTTGTTTGGTATGTGGCTATAGCTGCTCTGGGAGCAGCAGCTGCCTTGCTTTGATGTGGCCAGCCCTTCCTAGTCCCACATGTAAGCTAATTAGCTAAAGCGAAACATGCTGACTGTGGTCAAAAGAGGGCACACTGGCCGGGGTCACTGTTATTTTGTTTCTGTTAGAAAAGGAGCTTTTTAATGCCCGCTCGTGCAATTTGTCACTCAATGATTATTAGAACGATTGAAATCGTAACAGAAGCTCCGTTTACTAATATCCTTGATATTCTGCTTTCACAGTTTATGAGATGAACCAGGATAGTTTTGTAATGCTGTCCTTCATTCGTGTGCGGTTGTTCATTCAATTCAGACAGAGAGAATAAACCAAGGTGAAAGATTGAATAATTCATATAGAGTGACACGCTCAGCCTTTCTGGCTGAATGCCCACTGGTAATTGGGACAACACCATTCTCTGTCCATTTTTGCTCATTCTCTTTTGTTGCTATGCTACCAAAGCCAGTCTTCACAGGGAAAGTTGGACAGCCATGCAATCTTCATACCTGACACCACCCTTTCACTTCCCTGTGTTCTTAGTGACATTCTTGTGTCATTACCCCCCCGACAGGAATAAAGCAATAAATGTCTTTACACACGCAAGTCTCGACCTGTATTCAGGATAATATGTGGTTCGTTTTCTTGGCGTGTTTAGATGTTGCTTTTGCTGAGCTCTGTCTGACTGACATGACCAACTAACCTGGTCCTCTTGCTTCATCAGAGCCTTCTCCAACTATCCCTTGCTGGGTTATTAAGCAGCAGTACCACCGTTTGTGTGGGGGGATAACTTGATATAGACACTTTTATTAAAGCAGAGATGCCTCTAAATGCTTCGATTCAATCTAAGCAATGGATTCATTGGTTAAGTAACTCCCCAAAAGACATCATCAGAGCAAGGAATTACACAAGAGTGGAGTGAGCATTAGCCAACAGAGGCCGGCTGTCAGGGCTGTTCTGTGTGTGTCTGTGTGTGTGTGTGTGTGTGTGTGTGTGCTTGCATATGACTGCATCACTGGACACAAGTCAAGACAAACGGATGCGCTGTTCATAATCTTTTGTTTGTTTGTGTAAAAACGTAATAAAGATTATTTGTTGAATGTCATGGTTGATAAAAATAATCTTTTAAAAATGCCGTTGGAGCCCGAGCTCGGACTGAGACCTTAATCTCAGCTCTTATTGTATTGTTATCCTTTTTTCAGGAGTGAGCTCAGCCTTCCAGCATACCTCCTCCCTTTCTCTGGGCTAAGATGAGTATTACCAGTGACGAAGTGAATTTCTTGGTCTACAGATACCTCCAAGAATCAGGTTTGTCTTTCACATTTAGGCTATAACATTAAACAAATTCCCTTTTGTTTGATTCATTATAATCTGATGATTAACATCAAAATAAATATTCAGTATATCTGGGGATTTCCAAAAATACACGTGATTATCATTCATCAGTTTTTTTTTTATTGTAATGCATGATGAAATGAAGCATTCTTCCTCTCACCAAGATATTGAATTGGTAGTGCTGTCCTTTGTGGAATGTGAGCATTTTTTTTCATTCCTTGAGGACTGATGATCGAAGTACTGGCTGCTGCATTTTATTACCATACAGGCTGCGGGTGAAGCAATGTGGCATTGTGCAAGATTCGAGCCGTTCTGAGTAGTCAGCGTTGACATTGGCATGCCTTATTACACTCAAATGTCACGGTGGTTATGCAATGTTGTGTTCGGTTACTGTTCGCTTTGTTTGGCTCACACAAGACTTTTTCTTTGACTGTTTTTGTTTTGTTTGTGCACATCTTTTGTGCGCATGGTGTTTTTGTTTCCAGGGTTCTCCCACTCAGCGTTCACTTTTGGCATCGAGAGCCACATCAGCCAGTCAAACATCAATGGAACACTAGTGCCCCCTGCAGCCCTCATCTCCATCCTGCAGAAAGGGCTCCAGTATGTGGAGGCAGAAATCAGCATTAATGAGGTGAGGCCAGGCGGCTTCTGTCTCCAGTTGCCACTGATGTCTTTTAATGATACAAAGACAAGCTTTGATCTTTGTGTCAATGCACTGGGGGGGACCTCAAATATTTTTAGACATCCTTACGCGGTCTGAAACGGCCAGTGTAACGCAGGGCACGCCACTGACTGTAAATCACATGCTGCTCATGTCAGGACGGCACGGTCTTTGATGGCCGACCCATCGAGTCGCTGTCGCTCATCGACGCGGTGATGCCAGATGTGGTGCAGACCCGGCAGCAGGCCTTCCGCGACAAGCTAGCCCAGCAGCAGGCCGCCTGCTCCATGTCGGCCTCGACCTCTGGGAACCAGTCAAACACACCAAAGAACGGAGAAGCGACTGTTAACGGGGAGGAGAATGGTACCCACAACATGAGTAAGTCCAATGCTCTCACTTTGGGGGCCTTGATTAAACTTCATCTGCACAGAACCGTTAGGTAAGCAGATGGTTTTCAGCTGGGCCACTTCAAGGAACTATTTGCAGTTCTGGAGACGGTTCTGTTATTTCATGGACATAAATACTGGTGAACAATGGGCCGTGTATTTAAACAAAGCGGCTGGTTTCATTCTTGTTTGAAGTACTTTCGAACAGCTAATGGTGAATGTTTGAGTTCATTATTGCGAAGTTTGAATAATTGATAACGTTCTCCGAGCTGAAGTTTCCTTCTTTACCGTCAGAGTGTGGTGCTCTTTACTCAAAACAGCAATTGTTTGGGTTAGCGTATATCCGCAAAATAATGTACAAATAACAGATGGCGCTGAATATTTATTTGTGATAAATCTGTCGAGACTCTATTTTCTCTTGACCCTTTTGGTGAGTGGCGGCAGCAGTTTCATTTGTGAAGTTTAAACGCACGTTAATTTGTATCCGTCCACGACTGTGTCCAGATAACCACAGTGAGCCTATGGAGATGGACATAGACGTGGAGATACCAGCCAGTAAAGCCACGGTGCTGCGAGGCCACGAGTCTGAGGTGTTCATCTGTGCCTGGAACCCCGTCAGCGACCTGCTAGCCTCCGGGTGAGTCCGTCTGTGCCGACATGCATGTCCGTTGGACGCGTCCTGCCTTTGACAGAGTTTATTCCACCATCTGCTGTGTGCACGTCCTCCTCAGCTCTGGCGACTCCACCGCTCGGATCTGGAACCTAAACGAGAACAACAACTCCAACTCCACCCAGCTGGTGCTGCGCCACTGCATCCGAGAAGGAGGCCAGGATGTCCCCAGCAACAAAGACGTCACCTCACTGGACTGGAATGTGGGTGTCGTCCCCATCTGTCCTCTCACACCTTTGTCATCGGGTAAACTTGACTGCAGCCTGACAGAGACGACTAACAGATCTGTTTTCTTTCCGGCCAACAGAGCGACGGGACTCTGCTGGCTACGGGCTCCTATGATGGATTTGCCAGGATCTGGACAAAAGACGGTATGTCCTGAGCCACTGCGAAGCGTCAGGCTGTTATACCGTTGTTATAACACCTCTGTCAAGGATCTGTTCTGAAAGTAATGTTCTCTTTTTGAATAGGAAATCTGGCCAGCACTTTGGGGCAGCACAAAGGACCCATATTTGCACTCAAGTGGAACAAGAAGGGGAACAGCATTCTTAGTGCTGGAGTAGATAAGGTACTTTTAGGCATCTCTATTGATTTATTCCATATTGATTTACATCTTTCTGTGACGCTATCCTGACGTTAGGGGGAAGAGCTTTGTTTTTCCTCAATCTTAAGGTAGAAGAACAGACAGAAAAGCAGCGTGACTGATCTGATGTTGAATTTTCTTTCATAGATCAAAGTTACTTGAAGTTCTAATGCTATTACAGACAGTATAGAAACAACGACATTTAGGCACCAAAACCTACATTTTCCGTTTTAAATTTCCCAGACGACAATCATTTGGGACGCACACACGGGGGAAGCCAAGCAGCAGTTCCCTTTTCACTCAGGTAAGGAACAATTAAGGGCCGTCCTGGTAGAGAGTTAGCTCCCCGCTCGGCTGTGCTGAGGCCGAGCCCCCAGTGACTGTACCTTCGTACGTGCCACAGCCCCCGCGCTGGATGTGGACTGGCAGAACAACACCACGTTTGCCTCCTGCAGCACCGACATGTGCATCCACGTCTGTCGACTCGGCAGCGACCGCCCCCTCAAGACCTTTCAGGGCCACACGGTGGGCAGCCTTTTCCTTTTGCTTTGCTTTCCTCCTCAGCCCCCCGGCAGCCGTTCTAAAAAGCTGTGTTTTGCAGAATGAAGTTAATGCCATTAAGTGGGATCCGTCGGGCATGCTGCTTGCTTCCTGCTCGGACGACATGACCTTAAAGGTACATCCCGTCCTCACCGATGTACTAAAGAGCACACCGGGCGATATTGTATTCATGTCGTGCCGTTGTTCTACTACAGATCTGGAGTATGAAGCAGGAGATGTGTGTCCATGACCTCCAGGCTCATAGTAAAGAAATCTACACCATCAAGTGGAGCCCCACAGGCCCCAGCACGAACAACCCCAACTCCAACATCATGCTGGCCAGGTGGGTAGCTGCTCACATAAAGCTCATGTGCTGCCACCCAGGGGAACCACTCACTGCTTTCAAATTCAGCTGTCCAAGTCCAGTATAGGCTTTTTAAAAAATGTTATTCACATGTACCTGTAGATTGGCTGACATTCCAGTCCTGGTCCCACTTTATATTCAGTTACCCAAAGCCCTCCGGCAAGACTCTTCTACCAGCAATTAATTTTTTGGTGCATTTCCCTCTCCACATGCTGTTTTATAACTTTGCAAAAAAAAGGCGTTAAATACATTAATTATTATTATTGATCTTTCTTGCAAAGGCCAGTGTTTTTATTTCTGAGGACATTTTAAATTGCAGTTTGACTTTTACATCACATAAAAACCTTGTCAATGCCTGCCAACTCTGACTTTTGAGTACATTATGAAAGCGTAGAAGGCATTAGACGTGGGGATTTAGACTGGAACCAGTCGGACCTCTGTCAGTGGGACCACTGGCCTGCTGAAATGCTTCATGAAGCAGAGAAAATGACAGATCATGCTGCCCGAGTGTCATTTAAGAACCTGAACCCATCTAAAAGCCAGTCCGTTTTGCTTCTGTTTCCCCCCACTCAGCGCATCTTTCGACTCCACGGTGCGACTGTGGGACGTGGAACGGGGGGTTTGCATTCATACACTGACCAAGCACCAGGAGCCGGTCTACAGTGTGGCCTTCAGCCCTGACGGCAAACACCTGGCCAGCGGCTCCTTCGATAAGTGCGTCCACATCTGGAACACCACGGTAAGAGTCGGACTGAATTGCCTGCGGTGGGAAGAGCGGAGCGTGGAAGCGGAGTGTAAGCCATTTGGTTCCGTTTCAGACCGGGGCCTTGGTGCACAGCTACAGGGGCACCGGGGGCATTTTCGAGGTGTGCTGGAACAGCACCGGAGACAAAGTCGGCGCCAGCGCGTCGGACGGCTCGGTGAGTGCAGACAGCTGCCACCAGTGGTACCGCCAGCGGAGGAGGGGAAATATCCTCACGGTGAATTCTCTCCGTTTCAGGTTTGTGTTCTTGATCTGCGAAAGTAGCTGCCCCGGGACTACAGTGATGATGAATGTGCAGAAACCGCCGCCTTCCGACATCAGTAAACACACTCTCCTGGCTCAAGAAGGACGGTGAAGGCGTACTGAAAACACACCCCGCACAGGAGTCAAACCAGATGACGGCAGCGGCTCGAACACCAGCTTAATTCAGGGCACCTTACCGTTTGTTGACGCGTGTTTTTACGACCAAGCCTGACGAGATGGAAAACGGCTCCGAAATCTCCGACCGGATTCAACTCCCCAACGGGCACATCCATGTATTAAAAAGTTTCTAATGAGGACGTGCTGTGATCCCCGCGGGCCACGGGTCCAGCTGTTATCGGGTTGTGAGGGTGGAAACGCAAAGATAAGTTGAGTTTTTATTAAAGAGAGATATGATGATGAAAGACAGGTGTTTGGTTTACAAGAGGCAACAAATAGTAAGAAGGCGGCCTGTGGACTCCTCTGTGGAAACGTTGCCTCATGTCCAAATGAGCGAACCGGCACCAGAATTGCAGTAACAGACACTCAGTCCTGAACCACAGAAGAAGAAGAAAACTTGTTTCAAACGTAACTGGTGTTTGTTTTGTCCGTTTTCCAGATTTAATGTGGCGCTACAAGATGGCTCCTAGCTCGGTTGTAACATCAGGTAAACAGGAGAAAAACCTGCCAAGAGAACAGTCTTAACCCCGACCAAAATGACCAGCTCAGTTAAGTCAAGATTAGAAAATGTCATTTTGTGGAAAAATATATGGAAAGAGTGGTTTACAAAGAGAATTTTTCTCCCTTTTTGGATGTAAATTTCAAGAATGTAAAGATATGTAAATTAGATTAATACACAGACTTATATACTGTGTATATATGTTTATATACATTACACTTTATTGCAATCTATAGGGGCTCTTTAATGGCTAGAGCTGTCACATCTTTGCTGTCGATGCGTGACAAGAACACTTTCAATGAAATGCATGTCTCATCAGCTTCTTTTAATACAATCATTCTAAACTCCACCAGCCGTATGTGATTCTTCAGTTTTTTTTGTTGTGTTTTTTTTTTATGAGTTACAATCAAAAGAGACTCATTGAGCAGGCCGACCTTCCTTTCGATCGCAGAAAGCCGCTGAGGACTTGTGCACATCATTACCTGCATCTGGTCACCAGCAGACGCGTTAGCGGTCATCCTTCTCCTTTTGTCTGCCGCAGTAAATACGCAGACTTTGTCCTGAGCAAACCGTGGAGGTGAAACAGAAGTCCCGCTGTTAAAGAGCTGCCATTGGTCTTTATTTTTCCCACCGATTGGGTTTGCCCAGAGTTGCCCTTTTCCACCAACAGGGCTCTAAAGTAAAAGACTTTACCCCTCAGCAGTTTGTTTAACCTTTTTTGTTTCTGGTCCCTCTCACTTTTTCTGCTTGAGCAACATGAAGTGCCCTTTTTCTTTGGGAGGGGGGGGGGTTAGTGAAAAGGCAAATGTTCTGATCTTGTTGAAAGTAAAGGTCCAGTGTTAATTTTTACAAAGATTCTCTCTTTTAATGTCTTTAACAGTTGGAATTCTAATGGGTGTTGCGTTACTTTTTTTTGTTTTGCTGAGAGCCATTATTGTCTGTGTCAGACTGAGAATTGGGCTGTGGGTTGGTGGCCATGCTAAGGAGCCCGAGATGAGACAAGTGCTTTGACAGCTTCTCTTTTCTTGCACCCTGGTCCAGGGTACGGTCACCTGTTTCCAAAACAAAAACTTTGAAGTCATCCAGTGTCTCAAATAAATTCCTCTATTTTGATATCAGAAAACACAGCCGTGTCTTGTTTTGTTTTTGTTTGTTTTTTTATCCAGCCCAGAATCACCAACAAAACTATATATCTAACATGGAAGCCGTGCAAAAATACAACCGGAAGGTTTGAAATAGAAAAACGCTAATTAGCTTCTTACAAATACACTTTTCTGGCAGCTCATGGTCAAGGGTCATCTAATCTAGAGAACATGTTTCTTCAAGCACACAAAGGTCAGCCTGAGTGGATAAGAAAAACCTCATATCTGTCTGCTCACAGCTACAGGAGGATAACTGGGACTGCTCAGCTCAGAGTCTCAGGGGTCCAGCACTCCAGTACAAAGCAGGTGGTTTGAGAAGAGATGGTTCAGAACCGAGAGGCAGACTTGACCCGTTACACCATCCAATAAAGCTTTATGAGCAGTTACAACATAGCCGGTGGAAAGTCTCAACAGGGAGGAAAAAAAAAAAAAAACAGGCCGAGAGAAGTAACCTAAAAGAAAGACGTAGTGCAGCAAAGTGGAGGAGGCTGAATCGGTGACGAGCCCAGCTAGTGCCTCACAGAGTTTTCCAAGGACTCTCCGTCAGCGTCTACATCCTCATAGTCTCGTAGCTCGCTGGAAATGTGGATTTCAACTGTGCTAGACTCTGAACCTAAAGACAAAATAGGGTTGGATTACTTGGCGTCACTGCACATAACAAATGTGTTACAAATATGCAGTTTTAATCTAGCAGAACAATTATAGATTTACATATTTTTTCCAGTCTAGCTACATTTGACCTGATGGATGATCATGATCTATTCAAATCCATGAATAAAGAAAACCATAAGTTCTTTAAAACAATAACTTTATTTTTAAATACTTCTCAGGAGTTGCTGATGACAGAACATCACATAGCATTTGCACAGGCTTTACATGGTGTACCAGCACAGTTTCATAAAAAGATGTGTTCCTTTAACTGTATGAAACATATATGGAGTGAATGCATATAAACATGAGGTAAGTCGAGAGGAAATTATTACTGTTACTACAAAATACTGATGAATGTAGAGAGCAGTTGACAGAATATAGGGAAGACTTCCTGAAGGGCAACATAAGAGTTCTCCAGTGCCTGATAAGGTGTTCCACATACGTCCACTTGCTAAAAATAGTCAAAATAACCTCCATAAAGATTGATTACAGAATATTTGTATTGGATTGCATTATTTTTGTACATATGCATGTATGCGGTTCTGTGCAGAAGACTGAGCAACCCATCATTTGCTTATATGTTACCAGGAAGGAGTGGCAGCAGCTTATTGTCCAAAATATTGGGTTTATTGACACAAGTGAAAACAGAGATGGAAATACAATAATTATCCATAAACAGTGCTATTGGAGCAAGCTTGAAGATCAGTTTTTTGGTATGAGCACTGAACTCTCTCATACAAGATTTCATGTCATTCCCTAATGTGGCCTTTGGGAAAAATTCTCCAGGTTCCTCAGCCATTTCTCCCAATTGATCTTCCTTCAGATTGGCCTTGTGGTCTTCAGAGAGAATTCACCAAACCCGATAAATTAAATGTCCAGGATAAATCCTCTGTACCAGACTGAATGTATGGACTTCACCCTCTACTTTAACAGACCCACTTTTTAAGAACACATTGATTATGATTATCTCTGTCTGTGGGAATCCTTTTGTAAAAAACACGACTTTCTGTCGATTTCAGATTTTTGGTAGTGGCCATTTTTTGCCGGAAGTTACAGTTTAACAATGGTTGTCTGAGATGAATCGGGTAGGAATGGACCTAAAAAGCCGCCGATTAGGGGAACTGTCCAACCTGCAGAAAACCCTGAGAACAGGGTTGGGGGGGCTCAGGATTTCTGCACAGGACTGCACACAGTGGCTGTGTACAACCCCAGTTCATCTGGACGCTCAGCAGCCTCAGCGCCTCGCCTTTTATCGTCCGATTATCTGTAAATAATGCTGCTCAAAGGGCCGTGTGACAGCTCCTCACCCTGAACGGAGGATCACAAGGTGCAGCCGCGGTTAGCTGCGCTTCCAATAAAAGAATGCACAGAACAAACATGTCTGTGGACGTTGGATCCGGGTACACTCCGTAATGGCATTTCAGCGGTTTCAGCTCATTATTTACAGAAAATCCACATTTTCTGATGCAGGAACTTCCACGCTGCGGCTCTAATCAGCACACATCAAACCAGACATGTGGCCATGGTGATAAACAGCGGAACACTATCAAGTATAAATATGTTTAAAAAATGAATCACGAGTAGATGTTGTACTGTTGGGAGTTCTCTGGGTCTTCACCGCTGAGGCGGGTTTGATGCATTCATGCAAAAATACTCTGCGCAAAAACCCGCCTCAGCAAACGTGGTGAGGACAAACTGCTCATGACACGCGACGGCGTCACCAGCCCTGATACACGGGCGAGCCGTCCGCACCGCTGACCAGCCAATTACCTTCTGAGAGGACGCTGATGGCGTCAGAGTGCTGCTGTCCGTTCCCCATCACGCCCTTCTGGGCCTCCTGGACGTGACTCTGGTAGAGCAGGGTGGTCCCCACCATCGGGTTCTGCCCGCCCGTGTTTGGCACCGAGGTGGAGCCCGAGTCCCAGGCCAGCTCCCGGCCCCGCCGGAAGCTGAGGTGGACGTCCAGGCCGGTCCAGCCGTGAAAGGCCAGCGTGTTGAGGAAGGCCTGCATGGGGTTCAGGATGCCCTGAGGGGGTAGAACGCAGTATAAGTCTCCATGGATTTGAGGATTATTCACAAAATGATGAGGCCTTCTGAGACCCAATGTCCCCATATGAGGACATTGCATTTCGGCCTCTCTGTACCATGATACATTTTTTTCCCAACTTTGACCTATTGGCCTCCTACTACACACCATCAGACACTAATGTTTGTAATCTACAGTAAAATGCAATTATGACAATTGGACCTCCACAATCAAATAGGTAAAAGTGCTTGAAAGTAAACTTTTCAAAGCGTAAATACAGATTTGAAAAATACATTGATTTTAAACCCACTGTCCCAATATGAGGGAAAACTACCTGCACCGTGACAAAATCTAGTTCTTAAACCTATTAGTTCCTTCTAATCCCACACATTTTGGAGAAAGCAAAAATGCCCACCAAATAAAAGCTTGGGTCTCTGGCGCCCCCCTCGGTCCCACAGGGGGCGGAAATGAACTTCCATAGCTGCCGTTCTTATTTTTCTTAACCCACCATAATGAACCACGTGGTGAGGGCGGCGTTCCTGATGTCCCGGAAACTGCTGTCGTTGATGTCCGCCTGCATCTCCAGGTAGAAGAGGAGGCTCTCGTTGATGAGGTTTGGGGCCCAGCTGAAGAAAAACGAAGCAAAACCAGGTTTCAAAAGAGGAGGTTTGCTTCTTCTGGTACTCTAAACAGATAAAAAAAAGTGAAGTCAGGATGCAAAATGCTCATTTTAATTGGTGATTCTACACATTTCAAAGCCACGTTTGTCTCATGCAGTTGGTTCTCATTTATCCATTCGCACACATCAAAGCCTTTTAGGAGACTTTGAATTGGAATGTTCTTATAGTTTCTTTTTTTTTACAATCATGGTAGATAATTTGTGTCTGGGTCAACACTTACTAACTTACCAAACAAAGAACACCAGCATTATTTTGAAGAAGCGTATTTTTATATCATTGGCGAGCCGTCTCTCATTTTCTGTGTAGATTCCTTGTCGTCCTTTAAGTAAAGATGTCACTGGGGAGAGATGACAGAGGGGGTTGGTTTGGTCTCCCAAAATCTCGTTTTTTTTGGTGTTTTTTTTTTTTCTGTGTGACGGGAGAGGAAGCATCCTGACCTGCAGATATGGTCCGGCTGAAGAAGACGGGGTTGGCGGTGAGCACCAGCAGCATGGGCGCGTACGTGGTGACGTAGTGGGGGATGGCGTGCTGGAGGCCTTTTTCGCAGCTGGAGAGAAGCATAGAGGGACATAGAAATTCATTTGTTTGGTGAGCGATCCCGAGTTCATTTCGGGAGCCCATTCGCTGCTCTGACAGGAGGGCAGAATGACACAGAAACGGTCATTTCCTTCGGATGACTTCTCTGACGGGTAAAATATCTGAACAAGTACATTACGGTCTGCTTTTGCGACGGCCTCTTACTCGGAGATGGATGGGTAGTAGAGCATGGCCACTCCCTCCACACACAGCAGCACAGCCAGGCCCCATGTGATCATGTGGTAGAGGACAATGGTGCTGATGGGGGAGAGAGGTCAGACAAGTCATGAGACCCTGGCGCACGGCACATGCTGCCGCTCTGTATCCTAAAGATTATCTCTGCCTCAACAAAACACAGCAGCCGCTGGAGAAGCACACGCGGGGGGGGGGGGGGGGGGGGGGGGGGGTTAGACGTGAAAAGACAACATCAGACATCGGGCCTTTTTCTGGCCGAGGTGAGAGATGGAATCTGCATCAAAGCAAAGCGAGCCAGAGTCACGCTTCACACATTCTGAGAGGAATACGAACGGCCTGCTGCGAGTCAGAGCTGAGATCCCCCCCCCCCACCCCCCCCGCCACCCCCACTCCCCCCACTCGGCCTCCCGCTTTCTACGGGAGGACGAGTGCGAATGATAATGAATTATGGATGAAAGGTGAAGCCAGGTGGAACCTGATCCCTGCAGAGGTCTTGACCACCAGGAAGACGTCCACCGCGTAGCAGAAGGTCCACCAGAAAGAGGCGCTGAAGAACAACTGGATCCACATCTGGAACACACAGAGAGGGATGACCGCATCACGCACGGGACACCATTCTTACAACTCACACAGTCTGTTCCACAGAGCCCACTGTGGCCAGCATCAGGCCGGCTTTGAGGCTGACCCTCTGCCTCCGTGACGCGAATCACTCGTGAAATCTCTATCTTACAGTCTGTCAGGCATTGGGCCGAGGCGTGATGGGCCTTTGCTCGGCCCAGAGCACTACAGAGCGGGTGGTGGGGGGGGACAGGGGGGGGGAACGTACAGCGCTGCCCACGCAGAAGACCTCCGGCAGGACGTCCGTGCTGTTGGCCACCGAGGTGCTGTCCATGATGTGGGGCAGGCCCAGCCACACGGACGATCGGACGATGACACCTGAGAGAGGGAAGACAGCCGGAGTTCAGCTCGGACTAAGGAACAGACCAGCAAAAATGGAAGGGGGGGGGGAAAGAGGGGCAGAACCAGCGGGAAACACCTCAGCCTGCTCTGGCTTTAATTAGCATTTAAACACGTCGGGGTTTTTCTTTTTCTCGGCCTCGATTGTAAATAGCAGATATAATTACGGTCAGTCAGGGAGTCCTTTTAATAGCAGCTTTGCATCATGGAAACGCGGGCTTCCAGCGGGAGTGTTTTATAGGGGTGTTTCCATTTCCTCCGTGGAAGTGGGGAAAATGGGAGCTCTCCTGGAATCTTCCTGAGCTCGGACCACCTGCCGTTTCCGCATTTCATTTGAAACCGTGTCATCGCTGTGCTTCAAGCTGTTTGACTGAAGCACGGGTGGATCTCACCGGGCATGGAAACACATGAGCTCACCTGCCTGTGTGTGTGTGTGTGTGTGCTCCAACAGCTGGAGAGGCGTGATGGCGCTCCTCTTTGTTTCCAGCATTAAATACTGGCACAGGGCATCAATAAAACCTATCCAGGAATCATCCTTTTGTTTGCAGTCAACAAAATAACAGGCTTTTTTTTTTTTTACCCCAGAACCTCTCATCTCTGTTTACTTTGTGGTTATTTGTTTGCATGTTTCCATGAGCTGAACACAGGCAAAGTGAAGAAAAAGGGTTAAAAGGAAGCAGTTGCGTGCGTAATTCGACCCAGAGCGCGAGATCATGCAGTGAAAACCACTTCCCCCTCAGCTATGACCAAAAAAAGAGAGAAGAAACTAGGTCAGCCCCAGCTGATTCTGCTTTACCTGCGCATCCCAGTATGTCACACACACTGATGATGAACAATATCCGGGTGGAGGACGCGGGCCGGGGCAGGGGGTACTGTCCGAGCCGCCGGTAGCCCTTCCGCTTCGGCAGAACTTGCAAAACGGCGAATATGAAGCTCAAGGAAGCGCTCCCCAGACTCAGAGCCCCGAACAGGACGGGCTGGAAGGTGACCACAAACTCCGTGGCCGCGTCGCGGTTCGGGCAGCAGAAGGTCTCCAGCCGCGGGGAGGCCATGACGCACGGAGGGGCGACGCGCAGAGGAAAGGAGAAAAAGGGAAAAAGAAACGGAGAGGAAACGGCTGAGTGCACGAGCCCTGCTCTCTGGCAAATCACGGGGTCGAACCGTCATGTGCTCCCATTTAATCCCTGAAGTTTTAGCTTAACTCCACCACACAATACGAGAGACCGACAAAGGAGCGCTGTGTGCGCTGCGGAGGGCCGCAGTTTGGGTTCTTGGATTGGCAGATGCGCACAAGATGGTTAGATTATGAATTTACTATTTTGAGATTGCTTCAATTTAGGGCTGATTTTCTGGGGTAGCTGATCTTTTCTGCTTATATCCTGCATCCAAAAGGATTCACAATGATGATATCATGTCATTATATATTAACTGAAAACTTGAAAAGAAAATCACAGAATTTTTCAGTAATTTGAAATAAATCGAAAATTTAAAAAAAAACTGTATAAAATTACATATGTTAAAAGTTGAAGGATTTTAAAAGCCATTAAGAGCTTTTTCAGATCTCTATTTCCATCTCTGCTTTATATGTTTTATGTGCTCTTTTGGTTAATGGGACTTCCCACTTAGTTGACAGACATTAAATATCTGGAAGCTGCAAACTGCCAGCCGGAGGAGCCTTCCATTACTCACTCCGTGAACTAATGAGTGCTCTTGTTAAAGGCAGACGGTTGATCCATCCATTTCATTAGCCTCAATGTGTCTGCTGGGAGTGTGTTCCGCCTTGAAATGATACTGAACCACCTGGAGGTCAGGCCAGTCACTTGATCAGCCCTCACCACAGGGTAAACGAAGCCCTGATGACCGCACGTGCTGCTCGCAGCCCATGGTGTTCTCTGATGAAAGATCTGGACTTTTAAAAGCATACAAATGTGCGTGTCATGAATTGAAAGGTGTGAAAAATGAGTTGCTGTGCTGGTTTCTAGCTGTAATACTTCTCCGTCATGGTCTTTGTGTGCAGATTCTGGTAAATATTTCATACTTGCAGTGTCTGCTGTTCTTCCACTGCATTCAAATGCTTCACAGAGGTGCATCAATGCATGGAATCAAGAGCTCATAAGTCACTGCATGCACATAAGGTGTGCATGTTTAAATCATAAAAAGCAGCCTGATGCTATTTTGAAAAGAACTCATATTTGCATATGAACGTGTAAAGTCTGAGAGAAGAGTAGATACACATTGACCTGGATCGTTAGTTATTTTTTTATACACGTATCTGCATGTGGACTGAAACTAACTTCTTCATTCTATGCAAAGAAACATTGCGCCCCTCTCTTGCAGCGGTGGTCCGAATGTTGCATGCGTGGAGCAAACGTTCACCAGCTCCTGATGCTCCATCAGCCCTGCTTGGCTCGAGATCTGAGAAAATTGGCTGACATTTCAAACAAAGCATCAAGGGCCTTCAATATTCAGCCCAACAGAGAGGGCATTCATTCAGTTTGCACAGAGGCATTCTAATCCATACGCACCTTCCCCGAAAAGGCACAAAGTCAATTGTATGGCGAGCTTGTAGCCTGCTGCCAGGGATTAACAACACCCCGAGGAATCCAGCCAGACTACTGACGGGTGTGGGGCGTTTGCTCTGTGTGGCTGCCCTCTGCTGGTCTGTGCTCTCTGTAATGGGATTGCAGCGCTGTGAAAAGAGACTGGAGATATTGCTGTTATTGAGGGCTTGGAGAAATGGATCAGTTTAAAAAATCATTTAGCCATAAGGACTGATTTGATAGTATATGGAGTGCTGCTTCAGCTCTCGTTCCAGAAAAATCAATGCTGAGAGAACCGCAGCACAGGTGTTTGTTCCAGATCAGACGCAATCATCTCATTACAACAACGCTGCACAGGTTTGGGACATGAACAAATCATATCAGGTCTCACGTTAAAGGCCAGAGGTCATCTTTTTACTTTCATTAAAAAGAGGACAGTACGGTTGTGGTGTGAGGATACAAGAACGGAAAGTTGAACTTAACCCAGAAAACTTAGCGTGTCAGGTAATGTTGCACCACACAGAGGCGTCATCTTTGATGACAAGTTAATTAAAAACAAGACAATAAAATGTGAAAGGTGCAACACAAATAGGCGTTTGAGATGCTGGAGCTTGCCAGGACATGCGGTGATAAAAAAAAAAACGACCTATGAAGCATGTGGAGGAGGCCTGAAAACTGCTTATGTAGCTGTTCACTTCCCTTCATTCAAGTCACATAACCCCCCCACCCCCCTCCCACCCCCCCACCCTCCCACCCAGCTCCAAAAACAACAGGCCTGCGGCGGAGGATGGGCGTGGTGCTCGTTGGCCCTCTCACTGGCTGAAACCCGGCAGTTACATTCAGCCTCTCTGCTCTCTGCGATGAGGAAGTGACACCAAAACGCCAAAACTCTGCGCCTCAAATTAGACAAGCCTAAGTCCCCCAGGACGGGAAAACAGCAATGAGAGCGCTGCTACAGCTTTTTTGAGACGCGCTGAGGAGGGATGTCTGACCAACGCCAGGACGCACAACCGGACGGGGCAGGCCAGAGTGGAGCCGTGTTTTTCTCCAACCCTCTGATGAGTGGTGAGTAGCAGATGTCCCACCTCACTGGCAAGAACCGCAATGAGAAAAACTGACAACTGTAACTTTCCAAGATGTGGAATCCGACTGGTCGCCCGTTCACGATGCGGCCTTTAATGGACGGGTCCTCAATCTGCAAAGACTGATCGCTCAGGTAACTCCAAAGAACCCATGAAAGTGGGGTCAGAGAGCAATTAGGCAATCATGGGGAACGTTTTGTTGTTTAGGAGTCTCAAATTTGACCAGTCCCTGTGCGATCTGCGGACTCGGGGCATGTTACGACGGACACGTCATATTCCTGACTCCGTGTGTTCTGTTCTGCCTACAGGGAGCGTGTGTGAATTTGAACACTCTGGACCAGGTCTCGCCCCTCCATGGAGCCTGTGTGCAAGGCCACACCGCTTGTGCCAAGCTCCTGCTGGAAAGCGGTGCAAATGTGAGTACAGACGTAATCATCTGCACGCCAAAGAACAACCTAATTCAGGATGATCTCAAATGAAGGAGACATGCTCTCTGCTCCCTCTTCTATCAAAACTCCCTGTTTTCACCCTGTTAAACAGCCGTGTCAATCATTACAGGTTTTAACCAAAAGTCGGTACGTTTAAGTAAGGAATTAACCAAAAACACGCTGACAAATGAATGTCTTCAGATACCTAACATGTCCTGATCAGATCAGACAAGAGACATGTGATAATCATGCTCTTGTAAAAAAAAACTCATCAGATTGGTTTTATTTCTCTATTATTTCAAAGTTTGATTTTATTGTTAAAATGAGCCCTTTTCCTGCCGGCGTCAGGTGAACAGCTCGACCCTGGACGGACACACTGCCCTGTCCGAGGCCTGCGCCCGGGGCAACCTGACCTGCGTGTCCCTGCTTCTCCAACACGGAGCCAGTCCCCTGGGGGCCGGCCGGTCCAACCCGCCCCTCCACTCTGCGGCCGCAGAAGGTCAGAGGTCACATTCCACAGCACCTGCACGGATGGTCCGTGCAGGGATTATGCAGCGTCGACAAAACGCCCCGACTGTATCAAAACGCTGCTGGAGCCCGGGAGGTTTTTCAGAGCCGCTCACGCCGCCGCTGACCCTCTCTCCAGGTCACCCGGAGTGCGTGGAAGCTCTCGTCCGGCACGGGGCAGACGTGGATCAGCACGTGGAGCACTTAGGGTCCCCTCTGCACGTGGCCTGCTCCAACCGGCGTCTGGACACTGTGAGGAAACTCCTTCAGCTCGGTAGGATGCGCTCCCGTTCAGAGGTATTAAAACCTCCCCTTTGTTCCCTTTTAGAGAGGTAAACACACACGTTACATCCCAGAAGCTACAGATAATTCTCGAATTAACCTAAAGTGAGCCAGAAGTCCAACGTTGGGACTTCCTGGTTTTAGTTGTCGTGTCTGCAGGACATGTCAATAGAAGGAATTTGTAAAAAAAAAATTATTCGAACTAGAAACTTAAAGGGGTGTCAGACCCAAAGGTCTCTGGCTCTGTAAAAATGTCTGCTTTTGCTGCTTCCTTGAGGCTCTCACTGGTCTGTCAGGGCCTGACCTGTCCATCTCCTCAGGCGCCCGAGTGGACGGGCGTGTCTCCGGGGACTCTCCCCTGCACGTGGCCGCCCGCCTGTCCAGCCCCGAGCTGGTGTCCGTCCTGCTGGAGCACGGGGCTGACCGCCTGCTCCTGAACTCGGAGGGGAAGCGGCCGCTGGACCTGGCCCCCCCCGGCAGCCCGGCGGGGGGCTTCTCAAGAAGGCCGCAGGTACTGCAGCTCCTCAGTAGCCTCTCGCCGTTCGGGGTGTGTGTGTGTGTGTGTGTGTGTGTGTGTGTGTGTGTGTGATGGTAACGTCTCTGTGGAAACGAGTGTCTCCAGGAGTGAGTCCTCTGAAGCAGCTGTGCCGACTGGACGTCAGGAGGGCGGTGGGCCGGCGGAGGCTGGGCGGGCTCCCTGACCTCGACCTGCCGGCAGAGCTGATTGGCTATCTTCTCCATCAGTCAGACCCGGGGGGAAACTAATGCCCTGAAACTTTCTACCATTCAAAACAAAAACTTTGAGCCTCACACAGACTGAGGCCAGCAGGGGGCACACTTGTACTGAGCTGCAACAGACCCCCTATGAAATAAGAGTCTCTTTTTTTGGACTGAATTACAATGATTATGCAGACTATTGGAGGACAATACGATTAAATATTGATAAGGAGACATTTTGAAAGTGAGAATAAGGACAAAGCTAATGGGGAATTAATGATATTGAAACTACTGAGAGATCGTTTCTTTTATTACACAAGGATTTCTGTGAATATTGGACATTTTGGATGTTGCAAAAGAAACTGGCTCATTATGCATTAATACATGAAAGGATGCATTATAAAGGCATTTTTTTCTTGGTGGGGGAACATGAGTCTCATAGTCTGAATTGTTTCAAATGACGGCCTCCCTCGGGCTGGAGGGAAAATATGTTGCTCTCAGTGTTTCCTGTCACAGGTCATGCAGGTGGATGACTCCTACATGCCCCAACAGCTTCTGGCATGATCCCACCCACCAGCCTCCAGCTCACACAAGCCTCGTTTTAATTGTTGTCTTCATTTCACACTTCTCGGAACCTTTTTCTCATTCCTGAGCAAAACTAACAAATATTGCTCCTCCGCACTTGGACACACTGTGTGTCAAGTACCGAAAGCCTGAGAGATTTATCTTTTTTTTACTTTTTATTTGGCTGACTGTCCATAGTACTTAGGGCTGTTCTCGTGAATTTGTACAAAAAATGTCATGTTTTTTTTTTAGAACTTGAACAAAACTAAAAAATGAAAACAATTTAAAACAATGTTGTGGATAAGAGTGACACTGAGGCATTAGCGGAGTGAATCAATACGTTTGCACCCGATTACACTCTCAAAGCTCTTATTCTAGGCAGATGCAGCTTTTCATAAACACCCCAAACGTTACGGACTCCACCTGCCTGGAAAATGGATCTTTGTGGAGGTTTTGTTGAAACAATTTGTGCCCACCAATATTTTCTGTTTCACAAAACAAAAGGATTAAAGATCTGATTTGGTCTGCTCCTTCTCTCTAATGCACACATCTCATATTTTACAACGTGACATCTGGTAGTGTTCAAGCCTCTGCTGACCTCTGATCAGTAATCAGTCTGTTTGAACAGTCAATCATGGGAGATTTAAGGACAGATACTGAAGCAAATATTTGTTTTTATTAGGTAAATGATATGGATTTGTGGTTGTGGTGTGATCCTGGACTTCAGTGGGTCACTTAGAGAGATGATGAACGGGGAGGTGAGGGCCTGGGGGACTGATGGCCGAAGCAACACGTGCTGGACTCACGCAGACCCTTCGAGCTCATTAGGTTTGCATCGATCCCTCTGTCCCACTTTGCCAAACCCAACTAAATCATCCTCCCACTCCCCCCCCAGAAAGAATGCACGAACAGCCCGGCAGTGCGCATGCGCCGGAGCCAGCTTCGATCGGGTCGGTGTTTAATGGGGAATCGATGGTGTGGAGGAGCTCCAGACCCCCACGGCTGCCGGGAAACACACCACCCGCCCCTAATTAGTGGAATGGAGACGATCAGAGGAGACGACTCTGTCAGGGAGCCGCCGCCACGCCTAAAAAAAACAATCCAGTGCAGTTTGGGATGGCGGATCCAGAGTTTTTTTCCCGGGTTCACCCGGGTTTGGCCTGGCACTCAGATGCACTTAAGATCCACCCGCACACGTGTGACACCAGTGCTTTTACCAGCATCCCCCCAGAGGAACACACTCCATTAATCCCCATCTTTTCTTCTTCCTGTTTTTGAGTGCATTGGTGCTTTTGACCAAAATAGTGCTAAATGGATTTCTTAGAGAGGATTTAAGTGAAAAACACGCATTTAAGTCTGCCATCCGGACACACGCACTCCAAACAGCTGTGTGAAAAAGAAAAAGCACCCCGAACAGACTTCCTAAAGTTTCATGCATCAGGTCACAGTAGAAAATAAATGATATCAGTGTTTGGAGTTAATGGAATTGGATGAATGTGACATCAGATTAACAAAACCCGCAGGACATATTACACAGTTTTATTATATATTTTTTATAAATCAATGATCGAAGCCTAATAATGTGTCATTTAATTCAGAACCGTAATGTAGAAAATGTAGATACTCTTTCAGCCTGACAGTTTGAGGTCTGGACTCTTAAATGACCCAGTTCCAGCCGGCTCTGGCCGTCAGAGATGGCCCGCGTTTTCCTGAGGAAAGGTTTACAGCGCTGGGGAGTTTTGACCGAAAGACACTGAAGCCTTTTTGTCCGTTTGTTCAGATGCAGCTTTGCACACCTGAGACTTTTTCTACTTCCCAACCTGCCAAACTTAGGTTATTTTTCCCCTGAGTAGACTAACAGATGCAGATCCTTTTTTTCTCTGATGGAGTGAACCAACTGGGACGTCCACGCCTATACTGAATGCTTTCCATTCCATTCCATTTGAATGCATGAGAAGGCTGTTTCAACCCCTCCTAAGTTGGTTAGCAGCAAAAGTGGTTCAAGTAAAAATCTTTGTGGATGTCTTTCCTCCTTTCCTCCTCCTTCCTCCAGGCGACAAACCCACAAACCCTTTTGCCTGCTTTTTCATACACCTGCCGCAAACCCTCTGATGTCAACCACAGAGTGATTCTGCATTTTAGTCAAAAACAATGTTCCTGCTGCAAAATCGCAATAGGATTTGCTTTCTTTTGTCACCACCGAACAGAAAACTATCCATTCGTTGGAGGACGAGGCCGAGCTGAAAAATAAAGAAAGACACAGACGAAGTAGCTCTTCGGGAAACAAACATTTTGTGGCACTCAAAAGGACCCCGAGCTTATAATCAAAGCAGGATTACTTTCCTCATAATTGCACAAATCACTCTAATCATTTTGTCAAATGTGAGCAGCAGCCACCCACTGCAAAAACAAGCTGCTGCTAATGGCGGACGACCCTTCCGCGCGCACATCTAATAACCAAACAGCTCATTCCCCGCACACGAGCCGGCCCTCTGATTGCTCTGAGCTGGATCTTATTAGAGATACGGCTGCTTCCCACTGAGCTACAAGTGGGTTGTGCCACGTCCTTGTACTCCCCAGTAATTGCTTGGGTATTTTTAGTTTAGCGTTGGGGTAATTAAAACAAAATGAGATGGCAGAGACATGGATCTCTTGTGGCCGCCTGGTCTGAGCGTGGAGAAGTTTAGTAAGGTCACACGTTGAGATGTTTTCAATTATAAACCTCTGCGCTAACGAGGGTTTATTGAAGAGTGGGAATAGCAGGGCGACCAGAGCCGCAGGTGAAGTTAGTTTTTGTTTTCGGTTTCATCTCTGGCATGAGTGCGTCAAAAAACATACACAGTTTGGTGAAAACGTTTCACAAAAAGTGTATTTTTTTATTGTATGTTTATTTACATGGTTACTGATTTATATTATATAAAAATGATACAATATGTTCAAAACTAATATTTCCAACCAATTGAGGCTGTTGAAATAAGTTGATTTAATTTCAATAATTATTTTTTATGATCAGTCCTGGGGGTGGGGGGGCAAAGTACATCACCTATTGGATGTTACAGCTTAAATTGTCTGGGTTGTATAGAATGTGAAGTGCCCAGAAGTGAGAGGACTACACTCTGGCCTCAAACCTACACTCCACCTCAGCTTACACGGCCTTCACAGTCAGTCCTGCTCTACTCCACGCCAGCGGCCCGCCGGAGAGGCGGGGGGGCGCCGTGCGACCGGCCGGCCCTCGGGCGGTCAACAGCTGGAGTGTCCAGCGTCTGTGGAGTTGACGGATGACAGGTGGAGCGGGTGGGGGTGGGGGGGGATGCAGTGTCAGGTCAAGATGGCCGCTGGGCTGTGCCCAGCAGGTAGAGGCTCAGCAGGTTCAGCACTACCAGGATCAGCACCAGCCCCGTGAGAACCTTCTGCCCCCACAGGCACGTGTTCAGGTTCTGCTCCAGCCGGGAGTTGGAGGCCATCACCCGCATGAGCTGGGGGGAGAAAGACGGCGCGACTCAGACACGAGATCCAGTCAAATGAGCACGAAGGTGGAAGTCCCTGGTAGTCTGTGGACTCCTCACACCTTTTGCTGCTAATCTCTGAGGGTAATGTTCAGTTTTATTACTCCTCTCTCACACACACGTCTGTGATGCGCTGATATTTGACTCATATTTTCAGTTTAGACTTCATAAAACATTTCTTTTGGACTGTTCTCGTTAGAAAAGAGAAACTTTTGACACGTGACCGAAACCATTAGTTCAACTTTACCCATACAGGTGGCCTTTGCTCTGTACGGACACACATTTGGGCTGATAAAAAGAATCTCAAACTGTGACTTCTTTCCCCTGGAACTCACTGCTGTGCTTAGCTCCTGCTGCCCGCTGGTCACTGCGTCCACTGGGGTGTCCCTGAGGGGGTTGGCTGGCGGTTTAACACTGTCCAGAGCATGGCAGCGCAGCCTGTAAGAGAGGCAGGGTGAGCGGAGGACGGGCATCCCGTGTGGGAGCGGACAGGACGTACAAAATAAACTAAGACACACACACACACCTGTGTTCCATGACCTTGCTTTTTGGCACTTCTTTCCAGAACTGTGCAAGCTCCTGCGATCCGGCGTTGTCCATCTCTGCAGCCATTACCAGAAACCGGTCCTGTGGCGAGGCCTGGGAACCTGGGCACACCCATCAGGACCCATAAGCCTTTCGGTGGGAGGAACTTTTTGAGAAGGGATGTGAGGGAACGTCTTTAAGCACAACTAAGACTGCTCTTGACTGCGCAGGATCTTTAGCCACAGAAATAGAGGGGCTTTGTTAAAAGACTGCTGGAATTGATTGTAGAGAGTGGGGAGAAAAAAACACCACCAGGGCGTAAAAGCAGTCCTAAAATAGGCCACACCGACTCCTCAGCAGATCACAAGCAACAAGCTGGCATGCCAGGGAATGCTTCCACTCCCTGTCAGCGGCTTTGTTGATGGTTTGTTTGGAGGAGATTCTTTTATCAGTCTTGAAATATGCATGTTAGGCAAAGAAAAGCTGCTGCCTGCACTCTGCAAAGGTAATGGGTGACCTGTTTGATTATTCCGGGGTTCCGAGCTTGAAAACATCCGCTTCAGGAAAACAGAGTGAAGTTTGAGTGCCGTACCTCCATGTAAGGACACGATGATGTCCACTGAGGTCCCCGGCTCACAGCTGCTGCTGCTGGGCTTCACTCTGTACTTCTCAGGTGCTGTGGTCCGTACCTGTGAGGACGCCAGGTTTTCTTTTTTTTAAGGAGGTCATACCAAAATGTAAGTGGGTTTTTAGCTTTTTTTTTCCAGAAAAAACATCCTTTCCTAGACATAGATTTCCAGATTTCTGTCAGTTTCAACACCGCCAGCTGTTCCAGGGTTTTAAATGTTATGGTGAATGTATGGAACTGTGCCTTAGACCTACCAGTAAAACTGAGTTATCGTTTCAAGGCTTTAAACAGTCAACAATCCCTCAAAAGAGGAAACAAAGTAATTTGCGTGTCTGATTTTTTCTGCTGCGTCCCCTTGAATTAATAGAAAATTTTCAAAAATCCAAACATTATATTAGGATTTCTCTTTTAAAACAGTTTTTAAGCAACCTATTCATTTTCAAGATGTTCGTTTGGCATCATACAACCTGCACTGAACATAGAGGTGAGGCTTCAGGTAGCGTGGAGCTCCCCTTGCCCCCCCCCCACATGGGATAATTTGACAATCTATCCCATGTAGCATCCTAGAATATGCCCCAATCATTTATACCAAGAACATGACCTCCGCTGCCCTCGTTAGGTCTCACACTTCGATTCAAATGTCTTCAGACTCACCTTAAAGGCCACCCGGTTTTTGGTCACGTTGCTCAGGATAATGAGGCATTTCCTCTCCGTCTCCCCAGAACCAAAGCTGAGCTCCTCAGCGGGGCTGAAGGACAGAGAAGAAAAAAATAAATCATTATGTCGCAGGAACCACAACAGAAAGCCGTCTGGGTTCAAGCCAGAGGCTAAGTTCTTAAAAATGCATTAACCAGACGGCATTTAAAAAAAAAGTTGTTTCCCAACAAGCTTTGTCATTTCTCTCCTGAGCATCCTATTAGCAAAGTGCTGGTTGCATGTTTCCCTGCTGTCTGCCTGGTTTAATTATCCTGGGATTTGTGGCTTTCACCACCACACATCATCTCTCCCATAAGGAGCAATCATGCCTGTAGCAGTATGATATTTACAGAAAAAACGTTCCTGTTTTTATGTTACAATTAATTAACAATATTAATGCTAAGCATACAAAAGAATATAAAAGTTGCATTCAGAAGTCGGTAGTAATAGAATCTCTGAGGTCCTTGTGGTGCATGTACAAATGTACAGTAACTTATCTCATAATTGGATGGAACTGTGTTGAACGTGGTAGAAGGATTCTAAAGGAGGGGATTTTTACTCTCAGGGTACATTAACCTGACATATTATGCACCATCTGTTTTATTCAGTGGCTGTCTACCTTAAAAAAGACGGTGGAGGAAAGATAGGTGAGCTACTGAAATGGGGCTTGTTTAAAGAAAGGCATATTTTCAGTCTTTCTTTTTCGTTATGGGAAAATGTGATGGAGGCAAAAAAAGCAACAAAGCTGAAATATATGGGTGAAAACCACCCAAAAACATTAAACGCATGGTACTGTGTGGAATGAAAAAGAACCGACGGTAATCATTTTATTCTATTTTTGTCTCAAAGGGAAAGAAAAAGGATCTGACCCACGATGGGTGAACTCTAAGCTGTAAACAGCATGGAGAACTGTGGCAGAGGCGTGAGATGCTCTGCTTCACTTGTGCTAAAAGAGAACCCAGATTTTCTAACCAAGTTTGACACAGTCTAATTTGACTGTAAACAGCATCTGATTTGAAAGATTTAACCACAGTTATTACGCAAAACTTGTCCAGCAGGACATGGCTTTGAACTGGAACATCATCTCTGAATGCAGCCCAACTGCCAGAAATAAGGTAATTTCTCTTCTTTTCCTATCCGAGCCCGTGCGTATTCCTTCCTGTCTGTAAAACTGCAGCGGGGCCGGGCTTAGGGCTCCTGGAAACCTTTAGCAAGCACAACATCAAAGACCCCAACTCCCTTCTAAAGCCCCCAGCCTTGAATTGAAGCTAACACAGCTCTGTGATATAATGCGTTTAAGGCTCATTTAAATCTGTTTATCACTATAATTCGCGGTCCGGAGCCATCAAAAATCCTCACTTCAAAGCAGTCGCTCTGTGAAAACACAAGTGAGCCGACATTACCAACGAGCACCAGGGCTGACGTCATCCACGTCAGGTAGAGTCGGTAACCAGGGATAACTGTCACTGTGGCAGTACTGGAAGACGGGGTTAAATACGCCGCTTTTGAAGTGAAATATCCATTGAAAATAAGTCTGAAGTTAGTTAATTTAGAACGTATCTGAAGACATGCAAGAGGAGACGGTAACCCTCTTTTTTGCTTTCAAACTGTAACTAAAGGCTGTTCATTGTTTCGCCGTATTACCAACACCAACTCACTTCTAATCGATGAACGATCGGCTGGAAACATCCTTAATTCATGCCGATGTGCAACTGGATCAATTGGAGTATACAGACACAAACACATCGATAGTGTCTTCAGGTTCTGCCTCAATGTGTGAAAACAGTGGTCTTTGACAGGGAGCACAGACCAATTATATATGATCTTTTCACAAATCACTTGATGAACGTTTTGAATTTCCTGCCGCAAGAAACTCGTCAGACGTACTTAGAACAGAGGGCGGAGCCATAGATGAAACGGCACAAAGTATATCAGAAGATTAAATGAAAGAAAAAATATAAATATATGGAAGAAAAGCTCCAATCTGGTTCAGTGCTAACAAAGCCAGCTGGTAAATCAAACTGCCTCCAAAGTCAATTGGGTGGAAGGTAAAAAACATCCTGTCCACCGAGGCCAGGGCTTAAGCATTAAGCATCGATCTTCCTCCTCTCTCACTGGAAAAAAAATACTTCAGTTCAGTTGAGTTCACTCAGTTCTGCGCCGCCTCATGTAATTAACACTCTTTCATCGGTAACTGTGGACTATGATTTAGCCCCTAAATTTGATCTCAACTCAACAGCATTAAAGCTTCATTACATATCTTTCAGGGTTCTTTATGGAGTAAAAAAACCAACAAACAAGCAAAACAAAAACTTAAAGAAGCTGTTATTAACTCACATTCTTGAACTCCCTGAAAACACTCTAAAGTAAGCATATATATATATAAATACGGGAAGCCTAAATGTGCTTCTGAAGCTGCCGGCCGTCACCAGAACAGGATATTCCTGTGTGAGCTCCAGCAGCAATGATGAAGACTGACAGATGCCTCAACTCTCACACCCATCAGTTACTTGTCAGCCAACTCTGGTTTTATTCCCACAGGGCTGTTTGTAAAACAGGAATAAACAAAGAAAAAAAAAAGATCTCACAGCACTCTTAACTGCTGTGGTCACATTAACGGACAAATCAATCAATCAATAAACAAACAAACAAACAAACAAACAAATAAATAAACAACTTGAATCTGCGTCACTCTCCTATCTAACATTTTGTGTCTGTCTGGTGGCTGTGGAGCTTTCCTTGGACCCGTTTCTACTTTTGACAGAAAGCCGTTGAGGTGGAGACGGTGATGAACCTCGTTGTCCTCAGACTGACAATTATTGTTTTCAAACCCCGTCCAGCACAGCCGCCACCCTTCAGCAAGCCTCAACATGTAGAAAGGTGGCACAGATGCTGCAAGTCATGTGCCAATCTATCAGTATAAGCACTCTAATGAGACGCTGCCCTTTGTGCACAGGTGTGACTGAAGTTGCTGAGAGGCATTAATGGAACAGTAGCAACCATGTTCAAAACCGAAGGGCGGGCTGATAAAGCCATTAATGTTTCATATCCCATGTGTGAAGAGAGCTTAATTATGTAATAGCCATGACAGCAGCTCTCTGATACAGAGCAGCTTCGAGCTGAGCTTACCACATTGACCAGGATTACCACGCTAATGGTGCGTATATATAAAAGAAGCTTCACTTTTAGCGTGCTAATGCATTATAATTGGACCACAACCGGAAGAAAGGGGTACTGAGCTAGAACAGCAGCATCATCGGCGTTTAGAGTGGAAAACAGAGCGGAAACACCTCAAGACCTGATGGTGACTGTAAAGCTCATGTATTTAGTCTTTGTCAGTTAGATAAAATGAATGAGTGAAATAAGTACAATAAACCTGTGAAATGGTTGTTTAGACACTTGAAATGCCCCTGAGAGCTAAGAGGGCAACAAACTATCCTCTAAATTATTATGATTCATCCTAGGGGGAGCAGGGATTAGATATATGAACTGTAAAGACCGCTCTGTTAGGATGTCTATGTCTGGAACAGAGCGATCGCCAACCGATATAAAGAAAAAATGTGTCTTGTCTGTTGTGAAATTTTTCAAAGATTATGGTAACTTCCACATTTCTGTTTCCAGACCACTTCTTTAACGTTCAAACGATCTGAGAAGTGGAAGAACACATACGTGCTGGGCCGTGTGTGGGGGAGGGGCCTGGGCTGGAAGGCCTACCTGACATCGAGCAGTGCGCCTTTGAAGGTGGTCTGCGGCTTCCGGACTCCTTTGACCCGGACATGCGAGTCTCTGTCATTGTCCTCTGCTCGGAAACTGTCCTCCAGAAAGTTCACCTAAATAAAAAAGAAAAAGAAAAGGGAAAGAAAAGAGCAAAGGCTGCTTAATTAGAAAAAATAGAGTTCTTGATGTGTGATCATGTGACCCACATCTGGTTCCTCCTCTGAAAGAGGAGGTTTGAACTTTCCCCTTCATTAGGAAAAACACCGCTGGGTCATTGGAAAAAATATTTTAAAGTTTGTTTTTTGTTGTTCACTGTCCCAAAAAATGCAGCAAAACAGCCTCTTGTGAATCCTAACCTTTGTTTCTTGTGACCTCCCGAGGGCGCACAGAACAACAAGCGTGTCCGAGAAAATACGGAACCAATATAACCCACAAACTCATGACTTGACATGAACCCCTAACTAGGAGCATCTCACCAAGACACAAGTCACAAGATTACTTGTACATAAACACTTTTACTTCAGCAAAATGTTCGCAACCTTTGGTCTAAATGATCCTCAGGACAGCCCACAGACCACGCAAAGGCTGACGGGGTAGAATATCTGAGACGGTGCATACATGACGGATGTTAGGGATGAAATGGGTCAATTGGGGTAATGAGTGCTTTCACAGTGTTGCTGGCACCACACGTCGTGCACAATGGAGGGGGCAGTGGGGGTAAGAGGGAGCAGAGGACGGTCAGGCCGGGGCGGGCATGTCTGGGACTCAGCGGGGAAGTGTGTATTCCGCTGCGATAAGCAAGACACACGTCAGCCTAATTCAATGGCCGACTGTCATGCAACTGCGACAAAGAAGACATCCAGAGATAACAAGCTTCTGATGAAATGCAACTATTTATTCATTTTAAAAAGAAAGCGCAAGACATTTATGTAATGATGGGTGGGAGCAGAAAAAGTACAACAGGCTTCAAACTGGAGTTCAATTTCAAAGCTTGAAATAGGATGCAAATGAATACAGACACTGAAATTAAAAGGACAGTGCTTTAGAGTAAAATAGTGTTTGTTTTTTGCTTGATTCAGTTTGTATAAAATTACATTTCAGGTTAGTGATTTATTTAGAGACAAGTCAAGTCTAAAATACATCTAAAATGAAAGACGCTTGTGATTCCTACACAATGTGTAAAACATGAAAAGCAAGGACAAAGACAGAAACTTCCTGAAATATTGTTCCTGATCTGGTAGTGAATATCTAAAGGCACAAAACACGATTGTCTACAAGATTTGCACGATCAAGTCACAGACTTGATCAACGATAGCGTTTGAGGACGAGGCACGGAGGGCCGACGTTTAACATCTGCCTCGCAGATGCCATGAATTAGGATTAAGTGCTGAGGTTAATAGCTAGGTCTACTGTAATATAACAGTAATCATCTTAGTCGCTTTAATCTGAAGTTAGTGTGTGTAAATAATGTGAGTTTTTATTGGTCAGCGTGACTGTGCAACCTTCTCTCTGAGAGCTAATTAAACTGTGGAGTGTGTGTCTGGCTGGCGTCGTTTACACCACATGCTCTGTGCAAATGACATGCTGACCACTATATGGCTGGGAAGGAGAGTTATTGTGCTTTTAAACAGAGTCTGTTCCGAAAACGCAAGATCCAGGACGCGTCAAGTCACGAGTGATGACGACATCATTGGTGTCCGAGGGGGAAGTGCACTCATAACAAAGAGTCATGTGAGCGCACCTGCCTTTTCCAGCCAGTAGAAATCTTCGGGAGTGTGAGCTTCTTGTGTGGCTGTGATCTTACACTGCCTTAATGCTTAGAAACCCTTGTTTGAAGAAACAGAGACAGGAAATTAGCTTCCCGAAGCCATTACGGTATCAGCTCAGAGCTTCATGGAGCGCCGCAGGCTGCAGGGCCGGATGGATGAGGGGGGAGGCGGGGGTGGGGAAGGAGGAGTTCCTTTTTGATCGTTGTTTTTATTTTCAAGAAATGATGGATCAGAGACGGAAAGCTTGAGTACTGCATGGAATGTGCTCAGACTGGCTTAAAGTTCCAAAAGCCTGGCACAGCATGGGCTTCCAGAAATAAAGTCTGCCCATTATCGCCCGATAAATTCAGTCCACTAAAGCCCCCCCAGAGAAACAGGAGACCCAGCTCACGAGTCTGTTGTTCCAATCAGAAATTTCTCCTGAACCCTTCTTAAATCTCATCTCACACACTGTAAACGTTCCGTCTTTCACTTTCCTTTGATTGCACTTCTTTGAAAAAAAGTCTGAATTAATATTTGGCAATCACCATGTAAAATGAAATAGCTCTAATACAGAAGCTAGGTGTTTAATGGAGTTATTAATTAGCCGGTCTTATCTACCAGATAACACCAAAGTCTTAAAAAACAGGAGGCTTTAAACCAAAAGAGGTCTTCAAGATTTCAGTTTTAATGAGCATATGACCTTCAGCTGCTATCAAAAGTTCCCCGAATGACCAAGTCTGGTTTCTTTAGAAACTGTTGAACTACTATTGTCTCTTTTTGTGTATAGTCTCAACCCCTGGGACGATCAGAGAACTCAGGGGGCTTATTCATAGACTTCCCTCTGTTATTTATATATAGCAACATCTTGTGTCTGTGAAAAGTCAGCTCAGAGGGATTGTGTAACTTCATTTTGACAAGCTAGTTTGAAAAATATCTTCCTCTTCCCCGCAGGGCTGACTGCAGTAAATTTTATATGCTTTGACTGTAGAACTTTTAATGACCTAGTTTGAATTTGAGAAATGAAGATCAATAAAAGTGTTGCTCCAAATACCTGAGAAACATTTCACAAGTTTACCGTTAGAGAGGTTAATAGGAGCAGTTAATAAGCTCCACACTCGTGCTGGTAGATTACTGTAGGTCTAACAAATGGCCGATTTGCATATCTTTGCCATGTAAATCTACATCTCTGGTGCATAACCAATTTGCTGTTCATTAACACAGAGAGCACTGTTTGGTGGAGCTTAGGAGGCTGGTGGGCGTATTTTTGGGAGACGCGGCGCCAGCATGAATGATTTGTTTCTTATAGACAGCAGGCTAAGCAGCTCCCTACATTCTGTATAGGTTAACCTTCAGTCTGCGTCTCCCATTAAGTGTGAACTAACAGCATAGTAGTAAATGACAAAAAATAACAAAAACAAAACACAGTTATCTTAAACAGGACTTTCTCTGTATTTGTTTATATTGTAAATGATCCCCTCATCCCCCTATCAATTCCCATGCAGGCCCTTTTTGCCTGTGAGATGGCGAAGAAGCTAAATAGATTATTTTGTAAGGGAAGGATTGTCCTGAACGGTGGGAGAAGAGTTTGTGATATACGCTACAGGCAATGAAAACTAGGGTTCCATATAGCGACATCGAGGGGAGGTAACAACAGCTTCAAAATATTCAGCCTATGGGGCGTCTTAGTGAGGAAACAGGAACTCAGTGAAAGCGAGGGGGGTGCTTAAGTAACATGCCGAGAGCTTCTGTGGACCAATGGAGGAACTGAGAAAAGTGGAGCACTGCTCCAACTGTTTTAATGTCATGCTGAGCAGATATAATCTTCCCTAAAGAAAGAACTTACACATTCAAACAGAGTGCTACCTAGGTAGAATATGGCAAGATGGTATAATGTGGGATGTATTTCTTTTCTATATAATAAGAAGAAACTTGAAACAAAAGATGTACCTTTTTGGGCCTTTCCACGATCTCAGAGCTGAAACTGGACTCAAGACCATCCTTGCTTTCCATTTCGCCCTCTTTGCTCTCGGTATCGTCCTCACTAACAATGGGTCCGTTGTCACAGATGGGGGTTTGGAAGTCATCGTCAGGAAGAGGCGGATAGCTGTACTTGAAGGGGTCCTGATAAAAGGCCGCATGAGTTAGCTCACATTAAGCTTAGAATACATTGAAAAGATAAATGTCATCCTTATCGGGCAAACATTATCAACAGCAAACCAGAAAAAATGAAAAGTGGCACAGAACTACATTTTATTTCTTGACATGGTTTGATTTTATATTGTGACAAACTCGATTAAAGATAAGGAACCTCAGTGGTTTTTTAAATTACAATTTAGCTCCACTGGAAAAGAAGTGAGGAACATGAGACCTAAAAGGGACCTCTCTGGTCTTTGTTGTATGTTTGGCTTAATGAAAGAGCAATATTGAAAGCTATTTTGGACAAGGGGGAAACGAATGGCCATACCGTTCCACCCATGTGAGGTGGCAGGTACTCGGGATCAATGTAAGACTGGACCTCAGATTTGGATGCAAACTTGAGTTTGCTGATTGCTTCTGGACCCAACCAGGACTTCACAATCTTCCATGCAGCTGCGGTGAAGAGACATCATACTCAAGCCTTTAACGTACAAGGAAGCAAAAACATCATGAGGGAATGCAAATAATTCCTCAAGGTTTTCTCACCATTCATGATCCACGGCATATCCACAATGATCATTTTGGCTGAAAGTATAAGAGAGATAAGACTGTGTCAATTCCAGCACTCAAGCGGGGCGACTGTAACATACGCAAATGGAATTTGTCACTCACATAAAAACTTTGGATAGTAAACTTTGAAGCAATTGATGACATACTTTACAAAGTCCATGTCCTGAAACACAAAGCCAAAAGACAGTAAACTTTTATTTATCAGAGCCACACCTGTTGCTTCTGGCAAACTATCCTGAAACTATTTGAATGAGAGATAATATTTCTTACTTTCCTCACAGCATATAGATTTAAAGCAACCCACTCAAGATTACATACAACTCACTGCAGATCCATCCGAGTGATGGATGTGTCAGTCTCTCTCTAAAACTTACAGCAAAGGTCTGGAGGATGTTATTTAGTCAATTCTGTGAACTATAACTATAATGCTTTTTTTTTTTTACATAAGGTACTTACAAAAGTGTTGCCTTTATAGGTTATATTTGCTGTACTGTTTTTTTAATTAATTAACTTCAGTGATTAATATTAATCCTTGAGTTGTAAGTCAATTGAAACAGTCAAAAACAGCCAAAATGTCAATAGATAGTGCCCCTTAAACCACTGCTAGGCTCCATAATTGGCTCCAGCTCTTATTGTTATTCAGGAGGCTCACTCCAGAGCATTAATGAGATCCTACTGGTTACCTTAACACGGGCTGATACTGGAGTTCAAAATAACTCGATGAAACATCTTCCCAAACTGATCTTCTAATCTATTTATTATATATTGAGGCTATATTGCATGTGTAGATGTTTTGGGCTTAATTAAGCCAATTCTCCAGAAGAGAGCCAAGAACTGAGGGAGAGCTCAGTGTAGGAGCGCCTGCGACAACAGTGAGTCGAAGGATTAGACAGCCCACTCGAATTGACCATTAGGATTTAAAGGTTACTTTAATCTCCAAAGTGTTAAACCATTGAGGATCATCAGTCTATGCAAGACCAGGGCTCAAACAGCAAGAATTAGATGGGTGCTCATCAGCACAGCAGTGACAATCAAAGGAAAGGGACATTCTGTTTTCTAAAAACAGAATATTCTGGATAAGTTAAGGGAAAAGTACAGGACCATCACAACAACTGATAACATTGAAAGTCTGATTAGATTAAGACAAACACTTGTGAAAAAACAGGTGTGGTTAAAAAAAAGGAATAATAATAGGAAAAGGTTGTTTAAAAACTCACAATATTGCTGAGACCAGATTCTGACATGTCAAACACAACGGTGAGGGGCATCCCAGGTTCTTTTTTTGCATATCGCTCCAGCCAAAAGGCAATATACTTCTTCTTATCCACGGTGGTTTTTGCATCCTTGATGTGCAGCTTCACCTTAAACCAGACTAAATACAAAAAATAATAGAATTATATCTTTACATGTTTTTTACATTCAAATCAAAATGGGAGCAATTTACCAATTATATAGAAAAATACTAAGGCTGACTTCTTTATGTATACAGTGGAGTTAACATTCATACAGGTAGCAATGTAATACAGTGTGCATACAGAGCTTGTTTCCCTCTTTGTCGTATCCATGGAGGTAGACGGCACCAGTCTCGAACATCCACCTGGGAATGGTGCTCTCATTAAGATCTTGGAAAAACACATGACATTGTTATTAACTGTTGTTTGTTCTCATTCTCAAGCTGAGTACAATATCAGTCCCGCTATGCAGTCATAAAATATGTTTGTGTGTGTGTTTATATATATATATATATATTAACTCTTGGTAATTGTACTTAAAACATGTAGGTCATGCCACGCTAAACTCCGGCCTCGGATACTATCCTAAAAAAATTGTCTGACAAACAAAATTGTCTGGAATAAAGGCCAAAAAACAGTGGGTCTTTGAAATCTTACACTAAGAACGAGTTCTTTGTTAGCGGGACTGGCTTATGAATGGACGGCGTCTTTAACACACAGGGATACTCTTTATTCTTCCGAGATAAGCACAAAGGCAACCACTAATGCGTGTTGCAAGATTACGGCACAAATAGAAATGTCAACATTTCTTGGCACATATTGAACTTCAGTCCTTTTTTGGCCCCAGATTGAGCACAACTGTTTCATCAGTGATGAAAAAGAAAAAAGTAAACAAAACCACAAAGATGTGACATTTAAATAGCGGTTTGATTTTAAACTTCTTGACCCCATATCTAAAGCAATCAGACAAAAAAAACTTTTGTTTGTGATAGCGGTTCTTTTGTTTTGATAAAAATAAAGAGTAATAGTAAAAATTACTTTTTACCATTCACACAAAACTCTTTCCTCCACTGAAAACTTTCGTCAATCATTTTCAAGGCATCATCCACAACATAAAGCCTCCATGTCAGGTAGCCTTCCACCAGAGAGTCATCACTCTGAAGCCTTTCCACATCCCTAGGGTCATATTTTTCCGTTGAGTCTAGAAAAAACAAAAACAACACATTTACTCACAAAATATATTCACAATATGCTCCTATTCAAAGTAGGTCAAGGATAAGGTTTCATAGCAGATGTACTTTTTCACTTAAATGGACAGAGAACGCTTTATATGGTACTATAAACTAGAATAAAGCCAATTTTAGGGAAACAATAGTAAAAGAAAGAGACATTTTTTCATTGCTTCCCGTAGCAAAGCAAAGCTAACGTCCCTCTAGTCTAAAAGCTTAACGAGGACCTGAGCACTTACTGTAGGTCAACGTGTTGCCGGTTAAACAAACAGCCAACAACTAGAGCCTTAAACTGCAATGCAGGAATATACGTAAAGTACACAGTGATGGGCCAAACTAACAGCCAAAACCGAACTTGTAAGAGTGCAAGTTAATGTCAGCTTATTTACAATAACTGTGTTACCTTGGAGCAATTCATTCTTGAATCTCTGTCTGGTCTCTTCGATTTTCTTTACAATGTCCTGTCACAACAGAGTTCGTTGAGGTTAAACACGTCTCTAAGTTTGGCAAAAACATTGTGTTCTAACGGTCGTCAACTACCTGCTCTCCTTCATGTGCCCCATTCTCTGCCATATTCGGCTGTCCTCAGCTCTGAGACAGTTCCGCGTTGCCGGTGAGGCAGCTAGATAGCAAACTAGCCTGTCGGAAGAATCAGTGCTAAGACTGAAACTGGCGTCCAGTTGTTGCCATTTGGGCTCTGGCCATAGCCACGCCTCTGTGCTTTGTTTTGTTTATTTGTACTAAGCCAAAAAGGCGTGGTGTAGAGCATTTAACGGTCACAAAACTAATACTCACTCGATTATTCACTCGGCGGCTCCCCATAAACTGGGATAGCCATTCTCGTACTTAAGCTCAGAGTCACTAATTCGATTTTGTTTCCCAACTATCACCCACAATGCACTTGGGCTGACAGGAAGCGTTTAGGATCTGTTGGCGCGCTACTTTAACTAGACTATTGAGATAAAAAGTTGTTTACGGTGTTTGCGTTACAAAGCCGGATTTAGCTCGTACTCGTCCATAAATACACGGCACCTGCGTCGTGAAAGTGTCTCACATCACAGCTATAGCCTAAATACAATTTGTTGCTACAGGGAGTACGACGCTTCTCAGTTGCATAATGGAGAGATTTTCGTCGGACGATTTGTATAGAAATCCCCATCGGCTTTCGCACTGTGGAAAGATAATCTTATTTAACTGCAAACAGGATTCAGACAAAAATGAGGGCGGAAAAAGTGAGCTAATTTTCCACAGCCTTTACTTCAATCCAAGAGACAATGTGTTCCTGAACGCAGCACACGGAGCGGCTGTCATCAGCAGGAAAGTATCAGTATCAGTGGACATTGTGAAATGTAAAAGTACTATCAATGTTCAGAAGAGAGTAAGAAGTCCGTGTATTTTGGTGACTAAGAACAGTGGGAAAGGCTTTCACTATAGTCTTCTCACACTGAGCAGTTCGAATCAGCTGGAGCCCTGCTTTGAGTTTAAACTCCCCTATCAAATGAAAGATAATGTGTACATCTTCCATGGTCCCATTGTGCTGTGGACTCATGAAGGCAGTGTGTTTTATACATCTCTGGATGATGGGGGTGTGAGAAAGATACCCATTCATATCATGCACTGTATTTTTGGAGAACTTCCACTCCTCACAGGACAGATATTTGTTCTCGGACTGCAACGCCCCAACAGCCAATCCTGCTCTCCAACTCTTGGTTATTTCCTCGGGGATGGAAAAGTGTTTGATGGCTCTTTGATTTTACCCCATCCCTATATCAGCATCACACAGTGCATCCTGGTGCTCGAGGCTAACGTGGTAGATGACGTGCTGACATGTGCTTCAGTTGCAGCAACTTCAAATCAGCAACTTGTGTATTTGGAGAATGGGACTGTAAAAGACATATGCCAGCTGCCCTTTGAGCACGCTGATCACATTCAGGCAGTTAACGCCGGAAGGAACGGCCACCTGTTTGTCATATCCTTCCACCAGGGGAACGTTTGTGCTGTGTGGCAGGAAACTTTTCAGGTGTGTCAAAACTGGGAATTTAATAACTTAATCTGTCTGAGTTAATGGATCTTATTAAGGATTGTTTTGTTATACTGTCCTCTCAGATAGCCTCCTGCTGGTCTGGCGTCACCTCTGTCCACGTGGATGACTTCTTGGGATGTGGAACGGATCAGATACTCCTGTTTTTTAATGAGAAAGAATTCCTCATCACTGACCTCTGTGGTATTTCTTATTCTGTAAGGCCTGTTTATTTATTTCACTTATTTCTGGCTGCAGCATTCTTTTACACAATTACAATAAATTCCATTTACAAAGACCAGATGCAACAACACTACGACTAAGTGAAAATGCATGTTTCAGCGTGGTCAAGACTCTGAAGCACCAAAGACAACCGATTCTCAACCAGAAAGTTACCTCCTCACTCTTCAAGCTTTAGAATCTAGATTACAGGTGAGCCTTTTTAAAAAAAATACTGTCAACATGTTTATGTATACTGGTTATACTTATGTTGTATAACCAGTTGTGTGGCGATGGTATTTGTTTGAAATATGACTCTCTTGACATGGATCTGCATTCCTTGTCACTTGATATGTGTTTAAGCGGCCTATAATGTATGCTGTCCATCAACTGTCATTTGTAATTTAGAGTGGATTAGTCGCCCTTCAGGAGCTTCACAAGGAAGTGAGAGTGAAGGACAGAGTTGTACAGCAGTCGGTCCAAGTCCTCTGCGATGTGGCCTCAAAAAAAGAAACAGTTCTCAGCCGGCACGAGGAGGTAGTGTTCATGTGAGCCTGTAAACCTGTACAACCTGCCGCTGTGAATTCTGTAAATATATCCGAACAGGTGTGATACTTTTTAACTGCTACATGTGTGAGGCGGCTGTGGCAGTAGTTTAGCTCTGTAATGTTTTGCTGGGTTTTAATGTTGTTTTTGCCCTTCCCACATCACCAACTCCTCTATTTACTGACCCATATTTGACTGTGATCTTTCTCAGCATAAAATTTGAACAATATTCACAGTGTACGCATTGTAGTTACCATGCTGTTTATCTTTCTAGACAGAGTTTCATGATCAAGTCGACATCAGCTTTTGTTAGGTTCATACAGTCCATCACGTATCCCTAATAGCCTTAAAAGAGGGATAAGATGTGGTCTAAAAGTCTAAATAGTAAAAAAAAACTACATCCCAACCATTTAATGTTGGTTAATTACGTCTGTCAAACTACGTTCCCTTTTAATCCTTGGTATCGGTTTGATTACTAGATGTAATAACGCAGTTTTGCTCTTATGAAAAAATATTATAACAGTGCTCACAACAAATGATCAGGACAAAGTAATATTGCATGTTTCCCAGTAGGATGTTGTAGAGCTCAATATTATCAAACCACAGCAAGAACCAATTAAGGTTTGTGCCAGGTGTGTGTCTTGAATGTGGGATTTCAATATAGGCTGTTACTTTCCAGCATATGATAAAGAAATACCCATCACAAAGCAGGAGTTTATGTACAATAACATATGCTGTGAATATATGCTGCGTTAGAAAAGCAGTTATTTAACTTAGACCTCCAGCATTACATCCAGCTTTGTTTCTGAGTGACATGAAATGAAAAAAATCCACTTCTTCTGAGCCCAAATGACAAATATCAATGTCTAACATAATTTGCCGGGTTGTCACCAACTTGTCGTGGCTGATTATAGTTTATGCGCTCTCTGTGCAGGAAGATCTCGTTGCTCTGTGGGACTCTGATGATGAGTCAGTGGAAAAGGCCATGGATGACAAAATGCAAGACACGCCAGCAGTGCCTTCAAACCCTCAAATTGACAAGCTCTGGCATCGTGTCACTGGGGACAGGATGGTTGTGGGAGTGATACTAACGACTGACACTGCTGTGTAAATACAGCTCTTTTTTTTTTTTAGCTGGTGCAGGGTTTGCATATTCTTCCAGTCTAAACAACATTGTTCAAACACAAACGTAATGCTTCTAAAATGTTCGCTTTCTGGGTAATGATTGGAGTGATTGTCTGCCCATCTGTCATGCCACATAAAATCTGCCCGATCCACCGATCCATGTTATTCTACAACTGACTTTGATGTTGTAAAGCTAAAAAGGCCTTCCAATAAAAAAAAAAAAAGGTTCAAATTTCAAGACAGATGCATGGTGGCAAGGTTATCACCTTGGTAACAAATTTCCACTGACACTCCAAGCTCCTTAGGTGGGAAAACAAAGCTATCTGGTTCCCCTTCCATCCAGCTGTTCTTGTTTTTTTCTTTTTGGAAGACGTAGAGAAAAAGTGCTTCTGACATAACTGCCTCAGGAGCCCCTATGTTGATACTTTGATTGATGCATCGGTCTAGCTGATGTAACTATCACCTCCTAGAAATGTTGGTGTTAATCTGTGTAGACCTTTCCCCGTATTCATTTATATTCACAGAATTTATCGTTAACTATCTGGTTTTCAGTCTGGTTTTCTACTACCTGTGTGTTGTCTGATTGCCAGGGATGTGTTATTTATGTTCCAGACCACTGACCGGTGTGAGCTTATCCCTCCTGACAGAGATGGGTCAGAGCTCAATGCCCGCAGTAATCCAGACCCAGAGCCAAGCGCTCCGGCTCCCCGCTCCTGGCCCCTCAACGCCATCTTCCTCCTCCTCTTCCTCTACGTTCTCAGAGCCCACAGCCAAAAGAAGCAAGCCGCAGAGCTCCAGCGGCAGTGATCTGAATGCGGGCAGACTGGCTGTGACTGCGGTGACCGAGCTGGCACCGCTGCTGAACTCCAGCTGTGTCAAGTGCCGTGTCCTGCTCCATTACCAGCAGAAAACAGATGCCTTTTCCTTCATGAGCCGCCCGCCACCGGTGGCCCTGCACTGTGGCACGGTTTCTGTGGACATTCAGAATGTTTTCCAACCCCAGTTACTGAAAAACCCGCAACTCAAGACAGGTAGAATCACGAAAACGCATAACTTGTGATTTTTATCCTGACACATGAATGCTTTTTTTTTTTTTCCCAGATGAGGTTAGAGAGGACTTGCTGAGTCTGTTGGCAGTGCTGGATCGTTGGATTTTCCATATTGATTCCCCCGATTACAGTTTGGGGGATGTAGGTGGCTGGATTCAGAAGAGAGAAGGTTGTAAAAAGATAGAAGTGAGCCCTCAGCATCTACTGTTAGATTCTTCATGTCCATCTACACCTGTGCTCCTGCACTGGCATCAGATAACTCCTTTCCAGGGGGAACTAACTGTTCACTCCAGGTAAATCATTTTCATTGACTGAGTGCACTAATGCGGCCGTGTAACTAACCACAAATGATTGAATGATTCAAAGAATTAGCTCAAATTGAAAGGAGGGATTATTTTACGCCTCAGATCCAAAAAGCAATTATTATAAACAATTATCTGTTATTACATTCTCCTCAGGCTGATAAATCAATTCATGTTTTTTTTCATTCTGATTATTGAATTCACATGCAATATTTTTCAATTTAATCTTAGAATGTTAAATGACTAGTTCCTGATATAGGACTTACTGGAGGACCACTGCTCTTTGCTTTTTTCTGTCTTTTTAAAAAAAGAAGGAAAAGCAGTTTTCTGAGTTGATGTGGGCCACTGCTGAATTTACATGAACAGATTCAAAGTTGACAAGGCTTTGAAGTCGACTTAGACGCATGTCCGCATAATGTTCCACTGAATATCAAAGAGATTAGGTCTTCTGGTAAGCGCACCACTAAAAGTACCAATCCTGCAAATAAACTCTGAACAGGGAGATGGCTGCGAATCAGCTAACCAATGACGAAAGTAACCCCCATTGAATCCCCAAGAACTGCATCTTTCTCAAATCCACCGCACGTGTTATGTAATAACATGCCTAATCTGGCTCTCCCGTTCCTTTGCAGCCAGTTGCAGATGCTCCAGTTCTTGGACTCGCTGCTGGTGTTCCTCCCTCCATCCTGCTGCATCCAGCCTGTCAAAGGCACTCCGAGGTGTCAGAGCACTGCTCAAGGATTCGCTTTGGCTCTGGAGAAAGAGGTGACGTCACTCGGACGACGCCTGTCGTCGCTCCTGTTTGACGAAAATGAAGACGGGGCAAATGAGGAAAGCCCCGAGCCAGGTTCTGAGGAGGGGCTGCACAGGTGTAGAGAACTGGGGCAGAGGGACCGCGAGAGGAGCAGGATGAGGTTGAGCCCCCTGGTGGATGTGGGGAGGTATCGTAAGCTGCTCCGGAGCATGTGTGAAGTCCAGATGGATGGGGATTTAGCAGCTCTCCTCGACACCCAGAGGACTTTGCTCAGTTAATATAGCACAGACTTGCTTATGGCACAAAATCTCTTTGTTACCAATACTTGTTTCTTACAAAGAATTTGTGTTAATGGAGCGAATGTGGACTCCTGTTTTGTGTCAAGTATAATTAGAAGGTTCTGGTTGTGTTCTGGATATTTCCCCCTGCGCCGTGATGCCACCCCTCACTGCTGGCTTTGGCTGTTCTCTGAGCTACAGCCAGCAGCGTCCCGAGGCTTAGATCTGCCTGTTGTCCTTTACTGAGAGCCTGGGTCCTCATCTACTGGATCTCCTCCTGAGTTTCTCAGCTTTAATCTGACACTGATACTGCTCCCCACTCAGCTGGTTCTTTTTTGTGGGTCCCTTTAAGTCCTCCGTGGTCAGAAACCAGCTTTATTATCCCCTGCTGCTGCGGCTGCTGTGTGCTGTTCTGCAGGAGACGGAGACTGAAGTTATGTTTAAGGGCGGCAGGTGATGCTCCCACAGAGCTTTGTACATCTGCTCGCTGCATGCAGCGGACTAAAAGCTTTTGGCACTGCTCCTCCCCCTAATGGGTCAGTTATTTTACTGTGGAAGAGTAAAGTGAAAGAGTAAAAAAAATGACAAGCTTGGATGCAGTTTCCCTTGACTATACACAGTGTACGCTTTGTAGTTACCATGCTGTTTATCTTTTTAAACAGAGTTTCATGGTCAAGTTGACATCAGCTTTTGTTTGCTTCATAAAGTCCTTTTTATTCCCCCCTTTCCCAGAGGGACCAATGTTCTATTCATGTGTTATCTGCAGAGAGGAAGCCACCCTCCACCCTCCTCTTCACCTTTATGTCCCTACTTAATACTGCTTCCGTTGGTCTTCTCGCCACAAGGACCTCCTGAGACACGTTTCATTTGAAATCTACAGCTGAGACCTCGCGTGTTTACGACGGCGCCCCCGCTGTGGGTTACTGACATGTTACTGAAGCAGGAACTCATGTTTTTGTCATGTTAGAGAGTTAATAGGGCTCTGGTCTGCAGCCTCAGAACCTAACCCCGCTTTGTCCACTCTGCAAGCCGATCACACACACCCACGCACACACACACAGACCCTCTATTCCTTCTTTAATCCCACACATACAGAAAACAACCCCCAGCCCTTTTGGCTGGGATACAAACACCTCTGTCACTTCAAGCAACGAAGAAGAGTTTTGAATCCGCTACAGTGAGTAACATCAGAAAATGGCCTGGGGGCCGGTGGGTGGGTGGGTGGGCAGGGGCCAGATGGATCACACGAGGAAGGGAAAATTCAATTGTATCGGTGTTCCCACAGCTCCCTGACTGCCGTGCAGCAAAAATATATGGTTTGTCATCCCATTGTTGTCTGTTAACCTCTATTCACTGTGAGTGCTGAACGAAGACTGCAGGGTTTAAAACCGGTGTCTTAACCTCCTCACCTTTAAGACACGGCTGTCGAAAAATGTCGCGTCCTTTTATGAAACGGTTCAGAGGTGGAAAAATCAAAGCGCACCCCACCATGAGACTTTCTGCTAAAATGATAAAAAGCAGATACCTGCAGTTTTTACACGTGTATAGGTCACCTCAACCAACTCTCAGTTCCACGTCAGGGAAGCAATTAAGATGTTTTACCCAAAATATTCATTTTCTTTTATTTACATCTCATTTTCATCAAGAAATCTGACAAAACTGTCACTACAGATGGCCGGCCATGATGACGGATGATGATCTATTCTTCCAACATTGCACCTTTGCAATCGCGAGACTGAAAACTTCTCCAATATGCAGTGGCAGAATAATCCTGCTGGATTTATCCACCATTTTGTTATAATTTGAAAAAAACTAAACAAAAGTTTTACCCATAATTTGCATTCCAGAACTATGTCATTCGCTATTATTTATTATACCAAAGCTTTATTTGATCAAGTAAACACGGTTTCTTAAGATTTAAAGAGTTCCACACAAAGATTTAAAGGGTTAGCCAAAAATCACACAGTGCATAACAGGCAATGTTCCCAGTTTTTGTTGCACGTTTCTATGTTGACAACTTTTGAACCAGAAGAGATATTGCTATCGGCAATTGATTCCGCATGGTGCGTAATGTCCATGATTCTGTTTACACAGATTTCCTATGAGGCACTGGTATTAAAAGTCTCCATTTCATAAATAATTATTTCATTCAGTTTCCTTTTGCATCGGATCATATATAATCATTGTAAAGGGAATGGATAAGGCCATGCCAGAAAACCTACTTGTCATGTGGAAATGACATAATGTGTGTTTTTATTTCTGGTCTTTAGTCTATAAGCTCTACATTACGAAGGCCTCTTACTTGGAGCTTCTGGTATTTTAATCTTAACAAAAACAGCCTTAATCAACCCTGCAGTTGCCATGGATATTTTAGAAGTCATATTTTTTGTTGCCACTATGTTTCTTTCTTCATTCATTTGGGAACATATGGTAATGGCATTGACATCTTTAGATAGAAATTAACAAAAAGAGGTGGAGATGTATTGTACAAGGTTCCTCTTTGGGTCCAACGTGAGGTCTTACGACACAGAATACAGACTCTACTTTCCAGGCAGCCTGTACTGCAGCTTAATGAATGTCATGGAGGCATAATCTCTTGAATAAACCCTACAGAATACAGCAGAACCTAATCACCATAACACAGTAGAAATTGTGTTTTGAGTTAGTGCAATATTTATGTTCAGGCATAAGTGCCACTGTTGGCAAAAGTACACACAAGTGCTCTTAACTTCATTAATTCCCCTCTTTTCTCTCACACTGGTCCTATCAGCAACTGTGCAGTTGCTATGGCAACCCTTATTTCTTGCCTCTCAAAGACCTCACAAAGTACCTCAATAAACCTTACAAATGATGAAAAGTTGTTTCTGTTTGCATAGAATTAGAAACGGCAAACAGCCCTCCTGTTAGAAGTAGTTCTGAGGAGCTCAAGAGGAGGAACAAATGCTATATCTCTGCAAAGGGTTAGAGTCGCCGACTGATTTATAATCCTTCTGTTTTTGAGGAAGAAAACAGCAGATGGATTGATGCAGCTTGTTTTCAATAAACTTACTTCTGTCCACGCACCCCACTCTCAACAAATAAATAGTGCAGGGATCCAGCAGGTATCCACAGTATGGTTACGTCTGCCCTCACCCATCCCATCATGTGATTACTGACAAGTCTTCTGCATATTGGAAACGCTGGCGTGGTCACTTATTAGTCACTGAATAAAAGGAACGATGATAAAGGAATAACAGATGACAACCACAAAGAAGGCAGTTTAAGAGAAACAGAATGCGCTGATCATTTCCTGACATGATTCATGGTGCGGGGCAGGAGGCTTCCAGCAAACTTCATTCAATAACTAATTTCCCCCTTGAGGCACATATACATGGACCAGAAAGACGGTCCAGATCGATGGCCGATGACACATACTCCTCATGCTAAGGGAATCCAAAAACAGCTGTTGATTTTATCCAAAAGAAACCAACAATAAATGAATTAATGAATAAATATTTTACTGCTGTGACAAGGATTTGTTCACTGGATTTAAAGAATTAATCAATACCAACTGCTGTTTTAGTAATAGGTTATTGTAAGTATGATCAGTATAGGTTAGGTTAAAATTGCATAATACAACAAAGACTATATGTAGTGTTGAATCACATGGCATTGGTAATGGTGTAGGTCAATGACGTCAATGCAATTTTCTACAGAAACAACAGTGTGAAGTTTATCATCAATGAAAAAATGGAAACCCCTCAGTGGGATCATATCTGTGACGCCCTGCTACATGGCTCATGTCACCACTGGGACTTGTGGAGATGCGGAGGAAAAAACTGGTTTATCATTTTCCTTCCAATTTACCGATTTGTGCAAACATGAAAAAAGAAAATGGAAATCTTTCTCATTACCTTTTTTTTCATTTGCTTGAAAATAATTAGTTTATTCATTTCTACCTGAAAGCCATACAGTTTATGTTCTTACCAATGGTTTTAATTAAAATATTGAAAATGGTCAAATATTGCTGAGATCCATATAAAAGACAGGAGAAGTAACGGGAATTCGGTGTACAGTCAGTTTTATTGATGCACAGGCCAATAAATAAGATTTTTTTTGTTTCCATGACTAGCATTCAAGAAAAAGAGATCCCACCACAGTAGATCAGAAGTGCAATTACCATCAGCTGCTTGGTACCATAAATGTAATGTCGAGCTGTCTCCCACTATATAGTCCATCTACAAACACATAAAGTGAGTAAACCGTTCTTGGTGGGAAGCAAAAGAAGTTTACATAAAGATTTGATGTCATAAACATAATCTCCCACCCTTTACAGTAAATATCTAAATTGACAATTTTTTACAAAAACATAGTCTCAAACTCTAAAACCCTACCGAAGATACCTGGAGTAATTATCTGGGATACAAACAGCTCCATGTGGACGTAGGCATATGACAACACAGACCAATGCGGTGCACAGAATTTGTGGGATTTGCACTATGTACTTGATCAAAATTAGACTGTGAAATACTTAACAGTTTCTTCAATAAATTACAACAAATTGAAAGGTTGAATTGAAAACGTGTCGTGTTTCAAAAGGAGAAAACGCACAGCTATCCATAAACAGCGTTAGTAATTAAATTCAGCTGAAAACAAAACATCGAGAAGGACCTTTGGGTGTCCGCAAACCACCGGTTGAAAAACTCAAACGATGCTCGTCACTGTGAAAGACCGCTCGCTGTGAGAAAAAAAAAAGAAATATAGGAGCACAGCACTTCATCTCACCAACTCTTTGATATCTAAGGCCTCAGGTATTTCATAGAAATGCAGTATCCATTCCCAGATCCCAGATTTTCATCAGCTTTGTTCACACTCCCGCCTGAGACGTGTGCTGCTGCCTAATGTTTGATGCATCTGTATGTGCTCTGCTTGTGAAGTTTAGCAGCCGGATTCGGTAGAAACGGAATGGAAGTGCCATGACAGTAGTACACTATAAAACAGTCTAAACCTCCTTGGTAAGAAATTTTGCTGAGCTACTTTCCAGCCGCAAATCCATTGGAATGTTACTCCTCCTTATCTGCACAAAGAAGCCGAGAAGGATTAATTAAAGAGCGTTTTTTTTTTGGTCTGGCTTCTCAAGCGTGTCTTGAGTTTAGTCTTGAGCTGAAACCTTTTTGATCAGATTCTTCAAAATATATCATCCAGCAGTACAAGAACAAATAAAGCATCTGTGTCTCAAAAAATCATCACATTATCAGAACAACAACGTTGTATGATGCATGAACACTGTACATTATCCCTGAAAGAACACCAGCATCATGACCACGGAGCCTCCCATCTCCCCTCTCTGTGCTTTGCGGGCATTTCTCAATCTGAGAAATGAAAAATGAAGGGTTGTTTACGAGGGAATAGACTTTACTTTTTGTGGATGTCCTCATGCCGGATGATCTTGTAGGTAACCCAGTAGAAGACGTTGAAAATGAGGAAAGCCAAAGGGAAGGCAGCCCTGGAGATTGTGTCTATCCTCTTGGCTCGGTCCACAAACTTTTTCCTCATGGCGTCGATGTCTTTTGAGACGGACGCTTGAGCAGTCTGAGGGGGAACTGCGTTCTTGACAGCTGAGCCATCTTTCGTTGGCAGACACTGGTTCATGTTGTAGCCAGCAAAATTAAAGCGGCCTTCGCGCATATCCTCATCCTGAAAAACACACATGCACACATGTGGATGGTATCTTTTTAATAAACTGCGGCAGCTTAAATTGACATGGTTTCCTCTCTCTAATGCCCAGGGGCTCTTGTTTCTGTAGCTCCATGATTTAACATGCACATTAATCATGCAATATTACAAACACTTTTAAATTAATTAAAATTCAAAAGGATAGCCGAATGCACATTAATGAAAAAGCATTGGAGTGACTGCTTCGGGGTTGAATCTTCATTTCGAGAAAACAATAATAATGCTGCGCTTCCACAATAATCCAATACCTTCACACGTCTACAGCCATGCTGCAAAGCAGAAAGGTGGATTTGGGGTTATAGCCTATGCACAACATTTACTCCATGTTTGCTAACTCTGGTGGATTGTGGCTAACTGTTTTGAAGCTTTATGTCTGACGCTGGCAACTGACCACCCACTCCACAGTCATCATCGGTAGTCTCCAAAAAGGAAAGCTTGACTGTTGTGCTTGAGCCTATGCATTAAAAAAAAAAGCTCACGCTGTCTCATTAAGTGAAACTGGAATATTTTCCGGAAGACTTGATTTTTAGACACTTTTTCAGTTTTTTGGACTTTGATGTTTCAACAACAAAATCTTAGATAAGTGGAAAGAATTCAATAGAAATATTGGAAAATCAAGTAAACGCTACAGACCCTTCCACATTTTTTTTATGTTTCGGGCTCTTAAAATGCAGTTTTGGCCTAGTCCAATCAGCCGTGCACTTTCTGTAGCTCGTTCACAGTTTTCATTAAACCACTCCTTGATTTTTTGTTATAAGCTTTAGATTGTTAAATTGTGTATGTCTAGAAACTAAAAGCCTTTGCTGAATTTTCCTTATATTTTTCTAAATCAAGCTTCCTCTCAAACACCTATTCCCTCTATGCTCACTGGTCTCCCACTTCCTCCTCTCGACATGATGCTGCCATCACAATGTTTGACTGCAGGGACTGTATTAATGAAGTGAACCCGGTCATGCTTTTTTTGTTGTTGTTCACATCAGATTACTTTGTATCTCACGGTCTGGGAGTTGTTTAGGCCCTTTTGGCAAACTGCCAGCATGCCGCACCTTTTGTGGAGTAATTATGTCTGTCTGACCAGTCTACCATGGAAAAGGGACCGGTGAACTGGTACAGAATGGCTGTTTTTAAGGATTCCTGAATGTTAGTAGTGATTACAGCTTTCCTAATCACCTCTTCTGCCATGAACCCATCTAATACTCACTGTAGTCCCCCAAAGACCGGTCTGTTTGGAATTTCGTGGTTCCAGATCATTGACACCTTCGTGTAACATAGATTCACTATGATGACTGACACCACCATGACTTGATTCAATTTCAATTTATAGTGTCATGTAATTATTGTGAAGTATTTTGCTGAGATGAATGAGAAAACACTCATCACTGACATTCACAATGGATCTGCACTCACATCGGAGTCAGCCCAACGCATTAGGATTCTCTTCACAAATGTAAATATATACCGAGATATCTAATTTAAGAGCAAAGTGACTTGGCCATCCCCAGAGCCACAGTGCTAGCATGCCCGAAAAGTTTGATATATCCAAGCAATGACCTTGCAAAGACTTTGCCAGCCTACCTTGTGATTCCTTCTTTGTCTTCGTCTTAGGCGGAGGAACTCTTTCTGTTGCCTGGAGACAAAATTAACCCCGGCATATTCTAGCAGTGCAGCAAATACAAAGAGCAGACACACAGCCATCCAGATATCAATGGCTTTCACGTAAGAGACCTGAGGAAGAAAACAGATTTTTTTTTTTTTTTGTTTGATCCTTCAAGGTGAATGCATCAGTCAACAGTTCCAAGACAAAATGAATTTGAAAATGTCTCTGGCAAACCTTCGTTTACTGAATTTGATTCTACAGACATATTCTCAATTCAAATATATGCATTTGATCTCATTTTACACATTTCTCTAGTTTTCTGTAACATCTTAATGAATATCTACAGATATTCCTCACTATCAGTGCCTCCAGCTGTGTCAGTAATAGCATGGTATTAAACAGTGGGAAATAAGAGTGGATTTAATTACCAACTGAGAGAAAGCACTACTGTGTTATTTTGAGCCTTTACAACTGAATTTGATATTATTTTAAAGACCTGGATTAGGTTGAATGCCTTTCTTCTGTTCACTGTGACCACTCCTTATGACAGCTGATTAGCATGTGCAGAAAACAACTCAGCTATTTGAGGACACTTAAGGCATAATGTGTAATTGTTTTCGGGAGGCAACACTCTCAAAGGCTCCTCTTGAAATATTTATCAGTATACTTGTCTTTCATGTGTTCCATGACTTGGCTGAGCCTTTGGTACTTGTGAGGCTGATTGATCGCTCAGATCTGACTTGATGTGCCGGCAGTTCTCTTTACAATGAGTCTATGACCGTTTTCCATTACTGACAATAAGCTTCTGAAGACTATACTGTTTGAAATGCACATACACTAAAGATGAGAGCACCTTCTCTGCTGGGACAGAAGAAGCCAAATTATATCCGCTGGTATTGAAAACACGACATTAAGGAAGCCGCACTGTTCTGGTTTATGTTTCATGTCCAGTACAGAGAGTTTCTTGTCTGATGAATTACAGACATCTGAATCGGATTGGCCGTTCTCTTGTGACTGCAGTTTGAAACGTCAGCAGAGTAGCATTCACTGAATTACTTTTATGTTCTGTTTAGGGTCATTCTATGTTTCTTTTTTAATTATGCATTGGTTCTTTATCTGGAATGTTGCTGCTGGAGTTTTGAATTTATGGAGCACCTCTTCACCACCCATTTCCCTTTTCTTAGACTGACTGCCTGAAGAAAAACAGAGCAGAATCTAATTGATCCATTTGTTACCCTTCCTTTGAAGTACTGATGAGACTTCATATACCTATAGGAATGTATTACAGACCTTTCAGTGTTCCTATACAACAGCAAGCACAGTGATGTTTGCCTTTGAGAATGTACATAATTCCCATTAAAGAGAGGTGTGCAAGAGAGGGGTCCAAAACAAGACAAATAATTTTAGCCATGTTGACATGTGCTGACCTTTATTCTTGTTAATTATTCAATGAAATGCTTTCATTTGACCCAAAGAGATGCTCCAATTATTTTTGGATTAGCCCTCATCAACCATGTTTTTACTATGAAATGTCATATGATCTATTTCTAATAATTGACTGAAGCAATTTGTATAAATCATTTAAAGCTGTTCTCAAACTCTTCGCTCGTGATGTTGAAAGAGAAAGACTGACATTCACCTTTGGAAGAGACGCTCTAGACCCGGAGCTTTGGGTGGTCATAGTAAGTACGGTGGTGATGCCCAGGGCCACTCTGGCAGGAGCAGCATCCATATTGATCCAAAAAGACACCCATGAAAGAATAACAATGAGCAGGGAGGGAATGTACATCTGGATTAGATAGTAGCCCATCTGGCGCTCAAGGTGGAATTTGACTTCGATACAGGTGAATTTTCCTGTTTACGAGGAAGACAGACAAACAAAAGAAAATCAGCCATCAATACGAGAGGACGTAGCGAACAGCTTTTAGGCAAAACAGCATGAGTGTTCACTGACCAGTGTTGTAGTGTTTTGTGCAGTAGCCCAGCTCTTTCTCATCCCTCATTATGAACTGAGGCAGGGTGAGTCCATCGGAGACCTGCACCGCACCATTCTCCAGCCACTCAAAGACCAAGTCATTCATGGTGTAGCCAACTGAAGGTGGAAAAGAGCGGACGGTTTTACACGTGTCACAGATTTTCACCTCAGAAAATGCAGCGACACATCGGAGAAAATTGGCGCTTACAACTTTCCAGTTGCATCGTGCAAGTTTGGACATCCATCGGAAAGTTCTTCAGATCCATTGGACATGACAGAATCAGAGTCAGTCTGCGATATAGGGCAAAGCCATAAGCAAGAACAAAGTGAACACCCAAGGGAATCTGAACTCAATTGGAAAGATGCTAATTTATCAAACAATGAATTCATTGGCTTCACACAAGGGTTGAAAATAATTTGCTTGAAAAGTTAAATAACACGCTGTAAATTTCTTGTAATCTCCGGCCACGGTGCCATTGCTCTCTGATATAAGGTCTAAGGCAGCATGTACGATTCCCTTCAGCAGGTTCCTATCACACTTTCATTACTGCAACTTATTGTCTCAGTGATGCATTCTGGTCCACAGTCTGCTCGCTGTGTCATTTCTCCCATGAATGGAGAGTGCCGTAACCACCTTTCATCTCTCCTGTTCACCCACTCTACCTCCACACCTGCGCACCTCTCAGCCCTGACTGCTCTCTAAATGGACTCGAAATTGATCCACGATATATCGCATCATTGCAGAGAAAATTGAATGCTGTGTGCAACAGGAGTTGCACTGAAATGAAAGACAGCCCATTTTCAAATATTGTACCTGGACTTTGCTTAAATCTAAGGCTAATGGGCCCCTTTAAATGTCATCCGGCACAAGTGGGTTGCGTGTGTCTGCACTGTTTTCATGCTGTCCAAAAACACAGAGAGCAGTATGGCAAAGAATACACACTTCACTCTCTGCTTTCTGATTGAATCTTTGGCATGGATTCTCCACCAGTCAGATCTGAGATTTGTTCACCCTTGTCGGTGTTCCTTATTAAAAAAGAAATCTAAAAGGACAGTATTACACTTTGGGGATTCACTGATGTTCAGCATATTTCTGTAGTTCAAAGGACTCATCATAATAGACAGAAAAAATCATTTTGAAATTGCATGCTTTGGACTGACAGTCTTTGATGTTTGAGAGAATCTATCAGCAATGCAATGAGATGTAGATCTCCTGCCCTAATCTATGCATCATAGCTTTTGGTTTTCTGCTGAGGTCTCTCATCCTACTTCCTTAGCTGCACTGTAACACATAGTGTAGTCACTGTAGTTGTGTCTATTTGAACAATTTATCTCTTTTTCTTCACCAGTAGTGCTGACAAATGTCCAGAAACTCAAAATAGTGTCTTAAAATAACAGTTATCCTCCACTGTTAGAGAGATTTTCACCTGATACTGTAGAGAACAGTCCCATCCTTGAAGATGCGTAGTAGCTTGTTGTCTGTGGTGACGTCATGGAAGTTGGCGCCCTTCTCGTTGGCAAAGAAGAGGTCGGGCTTCCATATGGAGTCCAGCATGGATGGGTCGAGGTCGAGGGAGGAATCTGGGTATTTACTGTACGCCAGACGAGGGTCATTCCACTTCTGCCGCAGGAAGATGTTCACTCTGTAATCCTGCAGACACCACGAGCAGCTTTGCATATTTTGTTGCACAGTGATTTGGGTTTTGAAAAAGCATACTGATGACCGGGCGTCAGTCACACTTGTCAATCTCTTAATATCACAAAAAGCTGCTTTTCATGATACATAGATGTTTTTATTTACGATCATTTATCTAATCGTAAATTAAATTCACGATAAGATATAATGAAATAAGATGAAATAAAACCACCATTACCAAAACACTGATACAATATATGTACTCAATTAAAGTTTTCAATTAAACAATTTCAGGTGGAAATATTTGAACTACAACCAAATTTGGTGCTTTTCATGTTTTGCTTAAATCACTTTATATTTAGTTATAAGAACCATGACAAGTTCTAACAAAAAATAACTTTTTTTCAATTTTTAAATCAGCAGAAAAATAGTGTATTTCTTGATGCGGGTAACAAAAAACATTTTCAAACACAGTCCTGCAGCAGTGTAACACTGGAAAACTAACAAAATGCATGATGAGAAATAATGATTTTGAAAAATTATCAAGCAAACTGATACTGTAGGTACTATAGAGCTTTAATTGTCATCAATTTTCTCAAATGTTGGTGTCATTGCAGTCCTGATTGGCAAAACTGACCTTTGAACTGACCTTTAAGCAACAAAAGGTAGATAAATGATGGATTAATCGGACATGGAGCCTGATGAGGGAGGCTCAGACACAACAGCTAGTATAAACTGAGTGTCATAAAGCTCAGTTGCTCACAGTAATTGATATGTCATGGTGATGAGAAGCCCCTATGTTGTTTGACATTTCATCAGCATATTGGCGGTTCCAAGTATTTTCATGCATGTCTTAAAACGGCATAATTCCCTGGCAGCATGTGTTCCAGATCCAGCGCAAATGAACATTTTCCATTTCTTATCTAAATAGTTATAATCACTCATTATGCTTCCTTTCATCCCGATTTGTTTCCATGCAGCCTCGTTGGTTTTATGTTTTCCCCCGTGTGGCTGCCAAATGCCTTCACACATCACATATTGTGCTTTAGCTTGTTTGAAAGCCCCTCACCGTCACTTGTTGGCTTCATTCATACTGAATTACTCCTGTAGATTTATTGGATTGCCCGCCAATAGACTCCTTAAATGTTTAAAGTATGGATTAATATGAAAGAGGGGGGGGGGAAGTACAATGGGCTGAATAAAACATAATGATATATGTTTAACTTCCGATAAGCGGTCAGGGCTTTAAAACACGTCCAAGCACAACACTGCACTCACCATTGTTGTTTCTGCTATAGAACCAAAGCTGTTGATAAATATGTTGCAGGTAACATTAACTGGTGGACCTGCGGGTTGAGGGATAGATAACACATTGACACATCGTACAGGGCAAAGATTGAACAAATGACAAAAGAACTCACCATAGTTGTCTCTGTGACAGAGCCGAAACTGTTGATAAAAATATTGCATGTAACGTTTACTGGGGGACCTGTGAAATGGAATGACAATGACATGGTAGGAAAAAGCCATAAACCATATGCATAAAGCAAGGAAGACAGGGTCTGAAGTGAGGGCACTTTACCCCAAACTGCTGCTTTGCTGTGTATTCAAACATGCATTGATACATCAAGCAGGATGTATATATATTTTTTTCTTCCATTTTCATGGAGAAATGTTGCACATAACATTGTAAGTTCTACATTTCACTCAATGAATCAAAGGTGCAATTAAAATCAAACTTAATATTATGATCAGTCATGGGTGTCAAATAGATGTTATCATGTAATGATATCTTGTAAGTTTATCTTCAGGGTTGACTCTGCATGCACCATGAATAAAGGATGCATGCACACATAATCAAAAGCATGCAAACACACTGTTAGCCGAAAGTGCAATTAATTGATCAGCGTAAGCCACAAGAAAATTCCTCTGTTAATGAATGATTCATTGTAATCCCCTGTCTCATGCTTTGAGATGTGAATATTTGGATCATCCATTAATGACATAAAACAAAATATCTCTGTTTTTTAAATATTTTTCAATTTCAGCTCATGATCATGACATTTTCTTTTACAATTAAATCCTAAATTGTGCTAAACTAGCAATAAAAAATCAATTAGTAATCAGTTAAGAAATAAATTACACATAATCTGACAGTGAAATAACACTCTGGAGCTACATAATATTAAATCAGGGCATTTTCTCTTCCACACAGTAAATCAAAGTTAACCGACATGCCCTAATGAGTGCTATTTTACCTCCACAGATACAAATCTCTTTGTAAGATTTACGCGGGGTTTATAGCCCCTGCAAATCTTTCTTTTGTGAGCTCTTCCCAGTGACCTTCAACAGTGTTTTGCTGATCAATAATGAATGCTTCTTGGTGTTAATATTTGCCTATGTTTGTCAGTTCACAGCATTTAACTGCAAAAGCAGAAAAAGAAGGCAGTTCCTCCTCACAATCAACTCAGCAAGGAAATCTAGGTCAGCCTTCGGAAACTCAGTTCAAGGCTCTTCAAAGTGCGACTAGCAGGTTCCCAACGCAACCCATCTGTTTACACAGCAGTTGTTTTGTACAGAAGTGTTTGTTTTCCTGACTCTGAGATGTGACGATGTGTGTGTTCAAGATGGAATGTGTCCCACTTTTTCCTCTAAATGTACATTTTAGATTTAAACTAAGCTTAAATAGCATTTAAATAGGGTATCCGACTATTTATTGGTTGAGAACAACACATACACACTTTTCAAGTCTGAAATTCTAATCACAAATTGAGAATGAAAACCTCCCAAGTACACCTGTTTTAGAATCTTTGTTATGCCCGCTTACCAGAAACCCAAACCCCGGTCTAGTCCCAACTGACTGAGCCTTGACTGGACCTGGGCCCCAGCAGGACAGGCTTTTCTCACTCAATGCCGTTCCAGTAACAGATGCTGTGTCTGTCTTCAGCATCACAGCAACAACCGAGTATGTCAGATGCCCGCAGCCTGACCACCAGGGCACTATCCATCATTCTGCCTGTCATGGTGGCATTGCTGTCTGATGTGAGATCCAATCTATTGTTTGTTGTTGGGATATTTTCTAGCTCCAATTTTCTTTTGTGTGGTTGTGATCTGATTTGGCCAAGACTAGGACTTAATTTCAAACTCCAAGGAAAGGAAACAAAAATGCAATGCTATGATGGGTAGCTCATTTGAATTCAAGCCATCACGTGACTGTTCACACTAACTACAGCGCTTATATGAGGCTTGCAGCAACGTTTTGGGAAAACAAATCACACATTATTTTTTTGTATACGTTGTATAGTTTCAAATGTAGTGGTAATTCTGTGGCTACTTATGATAATTGGGGAGTTAAGTGTGTGTGCAGTTGTCAAACATACTGAAATAGTGTTCGACCAACCTTTAAAATTCGGCCTTATTCGCGCATCATATCCGGACGTTCGACCCATGAGTGAGTCCAGGAAGTCTGATGGAGACAGGTTCGAGGATCTGGGATCGTGTTCCTTGGCATCCACAACTCTGGAACGCACACATGGCAACAAAACCCACTTGATCAGTAAGAAGCCAAGGCTCAGAAACCAGGAGGTAAACCTTATCTGTCGCCCAGCAGCTGTTTGGAAGTGATGGGCGCGCATAGGAAAAACAGAAAAATGTGTTCATGCACACACACGTTGGGTACCAGATGCAATTTCAACGCCGTGGATATCGTCCTCAGTAGAGGATTAATCTGTTCATAATGAAAGATTCCGACACAGATTATAGAACATGCCGTAATTCCAACGGTGGCACAGCAGGGGTACTTTTAAGGCACAGAAGGCGAAAACACATTGCGTGCGTAAATATCACCACGGGATGCTGTGGTACAGTGAAAGAATGTCACTATGGTCTTAATTCCCTATATATTCAAGAGATTGTTTTTTTTTCTCTAAAAGCACAGAGAACTAAAACCATGACAATCAAATTGTGTTAAAATCATGACCAACTTCAACATATTATAAGAGCAACAATTTGATACGTTAGATTAGTTTTTTAAATTCTTTGCGACCAAATACTTCAATCGAAAATGTATCTTCATCATTTAAAACAATTTCTTAGAAAAAACTTTAGAGAGGAGAAATACATTTGTTTCCAATCCATCTGATAAATGAACTGGCTCACCTGAAGTTGTCTCTCCTCATGAAATACACAAATAAAGCTGCCAGAACCTTAATGAGAGAGTGATTCATTCCTGGTGGTTTCCTCATGTGCTCACTTTTCTATTTCTTCCATATGTTTACATCAGTCAAACACATAATCCAAACAGGAATGCTGCTTTCTTCCGGACCAAGTTGTTGGCGTCTGGGCTGTCTGTTGTCGCACAAAAATACGGGAGACATTCCTCAACGCGGCCGCAGATCATAGTTTAGTTTTACGAAACTCTGACTCCCAAAAATGGATCACGCGAAGCGATGGTGTGAACAAACATGAGTCCTTTGGTCAGACGACGAGAAGATGTAACTCCAAGACGCATCGACTGTTGGCTTCTCCTAGGCTGAGATAATAAAAAAAAAAAGCTAGACGTGTTAAGACCACACTGTTGGGCTGTGCTATGACTAGCGAAGTGAAACCGTTTTCAGGTGGGGGACCGTCAAGGAGTGGTAAAGGAACGCCTTTTTTTCCTCAGTTCAGCACTTGGACAGCTCCAGTTTCCTTTACGCGCAAGCGCAAGTTTTTTTTTAAAAGCTGTGGACGTGAGATGGGTCTTAATAAATCTAATAAACGGTCAATGTAATCAACAGGAATGCTCTGAAACATTGTGTGTGTTCTGCGATCATAAGTGTGGTTAATTTTGAACTGCGTGATCATGTAACACAGGATCGCCTTGGCAAGGAAACTCCCATAACGCACAGCTGCGCACGAGAATTAGCCGGCATCTGGAATGTCTCCGTGTTTCCAAGGTAAAACTGAGAGCAAGTATTTGCAATACTCTGTTGGCATTCTCATAGGAAATGTGACTCCACCTGTAATCACAATGTGTGAAGGATTCCGTTTCGCTAGAGTCCTGATTTATAGCCCTCGTGCGGGTGTCAGCAAAAGACTGACAGCGTTTGTCCCCAACCCAATTGGCTGTGTTTTCAGGCAGCACGCGTTTGTCATATTTGTCTCTGTCTAAAAAAAAAAAAAGCCTACATCCTTGCAAATATGGAAAGTGTAAACAAAGGACGCACCAGCGAGAAGCCACTGGGAGAGAATTTGGTACCCCGGTTGCCCTGGAAACAGATTTCCGTGGCACATCACTGGAAATGCTGAAAGGTTGGCCTCCCAGAGCGAGACCGAAAAGAGCCGACTGACAGACACAGGCGGCAAGAAATATACTTCAGGGTGGCAGAAGCCTCGGGGAGGAGGAACTGAGGTTGAGGAGGCTACCACACCGATTTAACATTATTTTCTACTTCAGCCTATGTGTTTACAGGCTCGTGGTGATGATTGGTTTAATAGGGAGCTGTCAGTTTTGTGTGAGTGGGTTTAGGGCATGAATGACTCATTCCACATGAACACACAGGCATGTGCTGGGGAGGAAGATGCTAAACTTAGTGAGGATAAAAAAAAAAATTCATTCAGGTCCAGCCAGCACGGGTATTGTGTAGTGAGGTTGCTCCAGGCACATCACGTTCCTCCGGGCTGTGATAGGCTACTCACGGGGCAATCGGTGTGATACTTGGTTACTAACCAGATAACGGATCCTCCTGGCCTTGACAGCTGTAGGTGGATGACTCTCCTCATTTTAATGCCTTGACCAAATTACAAGAGTCAGATTGTAAAGTTATTCTTGTGAATGACTGTGTGCATGATTTATTCTTCAGCATGTTTGCCAGCATAAATACTTAATGTCCCTGTTAATTATTTACCATAAGCGTTGCTTTTAATTAACAAACAACCTTTGTCTGGCAAGTGTTTTGAGAAGCAGTTATTTCAAGTGGATGGCTCTTTGTGTCAAAGAGTCATAACCAAGACCAAAATAACATGCATGATACCAGATATCTTCTTTAATGAATATATTTCCAACTCATAAGAGCCAGAATTTTCTTTGCACTCAGGTCCTTTATTTCTCATCTCTGAGACAGCTGCAGTTGGCATGTCTATGTAATGACAACCCACAAGAGCTTCAATTGGCCATTAGTTTCCAGAGGAAAGACTTCAGGCCAGATGGGTCACATAATTAAAGAAGAACAAGTCAAATCTGTGTGTTAATGAGGTGAGAGATGGATGTATGCCTCCTTTTTCACTGAAGAGAGAGAATAAAAAAGCAGCACCTCTTTGGACAAGTCTGTTTCTCTCCTCAAAGACATTAAAACAACAGGCTCAAGACAGGCCAACATGTTTTTTTTTACAGCTGCCCACACATAACACAGATTTGTCGCTGTGCTGCTTGTTACTCTGTGGGGAATGAGGAGCATTAATCATCTGACGTAATGATGCTTTTATTGTGCAGGAAGAAGGATTCGCAGCAACGTTCACCGCTCATAAGTTAAACCAAAAGATCTCCTCTTTAGTGACTGCTCTGCTGTAACATTTACTTTTTTTTTTCTACTGAAGGCTAGAAAGTGGTCGAAACTATGACTGACGGGAAGTTCTATTTAGTCTGGTGGGTGGTCGTCATTGATCCCGCTCGGTGACTGAGGAGTTGTGGGCTGACTGGGGAGCTCACCTGGAAACAACAAGCAGGCTTTACCACCCGGATGCTCATGTGCAGCGGACTGAAGACAATTGAGAGCAGCAGAGTATCCGTTGCTCCATCGATTCCTTGTGTCTTTATCCCACTTAATGACTTTTTGGGTCTATAATTCAACTCATGTAGCCAATCTCGGGCCTAGCAGGGATACAAAGAAGTAACATGTGGAAGCTGCTTTGATGGCAGCATGCCGAAGGAAGAGTGCAAAGGATTTAATGAAGGGATTCTTGAAGGGAAGAAAGGATTTGAGAACTCTCTTGTGCCAAAACACCCAACACAATTATCATAAGCTCTCTGTCATCGCAAAATAAAGCTATTTTTAGGCTCTTACGTGGCACACAGGAGAATAATAAACTCACTTATATATTTTTTTACACAGTTCATGCATCCTGACTTCAACCCAGACATGCGCAAATGGTAATACAGGAGCTGTAAAACACAAATGGTAATACAGGAGCGGTAAAGCCATCTGACCTGCAGGTGAGAACACAGCCTAAATGCTCCTCATAAGTCCCTTTCCTCCTCAGGCTAAGTGGAAGAGAGCAACTGTGGTCTTTACTGAGACACATCTGTCAATCATGGCTTTTCCGTTATCAGTGGGAGCACACTGACAGCCACAGAGCCTTTCTCCATCACTGAGCACAGAAAAACCCACTGATCCCCAGTCTAGACCTCCTATACATCCTCCACAACCATTCAAACAGCAACAGAAATAATGCCACGGCGTGTTTACAGGGTTTGTAAATCATCCTGAATGCCAGAAGCTCTGTCCAGTTTGTTAAGCAATTACTCTTCAAGCGACAGTAAATCCATCTTGTTCTGCCTGAGATCTTCATGTCATGATGTCTCCCCTGAATTTCACTTTCTACGTTGTGGCCCGAACCCTAAAAATCACCAATGCGAATGCATTTTTTTCCCATCCAGCGCCAGCTTTAAGTTGACACTGGCTCACAATTCATCTATTTCTAACTTGTATGCTTGTCTGGCTGAACGCTGTCACTGGGGCTCTGCAGCTGTCAAAGTGATGCAGGAATAGATTGAAGTCTGAATGCTGTTCAACTGCTTAACTGCTTTCCATCAGTCTTTTCCTTTCAGGGGAGCTTAGATGTATGTTATGGGACCAATTACCCCCAGGGAAGGGACATTGGCAGAGCAACAGCGCTTATTCAGTTTTTGGATTTTTTCATTTTCGGATATTCATGAAAAAAACGTATCTCCCCTCCATTGCAAAGCGCTGTGTTGCATATTAATAATAGCTGGTTTTCTACAACTCTGAGAGTTGTTGCTTTCCAGTTGGGGGTTATACTTTCAAATCTAGTTGATTGCAGCCTTTCACCGGCTTTGTCAAAATAAACGTGTGGACATTGAGATTCCCGTTACAGAGAGGAGTGGGTGCAGGTGCACAGTCGAAGGCTCCTTCTGAAATACAAGACATGATGTGCTTGCATAAACTTAAAAGTTGCCAGCGTGCAGCCTGTCAGATGCAAAAGCACATTAAAGGTAACTGGCTGTCAGATGTGTGGAAGTAATATACCGCTGTAAAGAGGTTTGGGTTTGATGTTTTCTTTCCCAGCAGCACATTCAAAACTAAAAACAGCTCATACATTTGATTTTCACGTTGCAGCTGAGCTGGTGAGATCGCTTGCAGACATCAGAAAACAATGTTTGTTGTTATCAAGCATAGATATTTATTGAAAGAACATGAGCCTCGTATCTTCTCCTAGTCCCCGAGCTTGCCTTTTCTTAAATCCTTAGAACAAACCGCAGCTTTGTTGTGGCTGGCTTTAGCTGAAATCAACCAAATTTTATTCATACGGCACTTTTCTAACTAAAAAATATATTATAGTGAAGACATTCAGAATTAAGAGAGAAAACATCTAAACATAGATTAAATAATGGTAGATGTAGCACAATTCAAGGACAAAACATCAAAATTTATAATCAAATATATATTAATAAAATTGGTCAAAAGATTAGAGAATGATGATGAGAAAGAAGACCCTTCGCTTCATCAGAAACAACACAAAGCCTGACCGACTTATCATGCAGAAAGGGAGCCTCTTCCATCACATTTCAGCATTAAAACTAAAGGCAGCATCACTAAATGGTTTTGTTCTGCTTTTTGGAACAGCTCGGAGTGCAGAGCTGGAGGATCTCGGTGGCCTTCTGGGGCTGATAAACTGTTTGTATAGTGTCAGAGAGAAGGCTGTCTCTGTGGCAGCTGTGGCTCAGATGACTTTGAATATCAATCAGTTCAGTCCCTGACATCCTCACTCCACCTGTTGAAGTATCCTCGGGCTAGATTCTGAAACCCACATATCCATTGTGTTTCTCAATGGTGAATCTCTCTGACTAATAATCCCTATCATCGTATTTAAAAGTCTGAAAAAATTATCTTTCAGGTTAACATTTAAGATGTTACTGTGGAACAATACAGTTCTGTAGAGTCAGACACCACTGAACTCCCTGACAGCTATTCTCTTTTTTGAAAATATTGCTTCAAAGTGTATTTGTCCCGTCTTATCCAAAGTGTGAAATCATATAAGAGAGTGTATTTTGATACATTTACCGTCCGTCCTTTATTTAGTCTGTTGTTGAAGCCAGTGTGGAGTAGTCAGATCATTCATTTATAAATGCCTGACAGCTTCCTGTTTCCATTCTAAACATTCTCTTTGATTGGTTTATTACGACCATTTTTTTTTTTTTTTTACTTCGCTGTGACCTCATTTGTAACAAATTAAATGTTAACACAGGCCACAAACTCAGTATCTTGTGAACATTAAAAGCTGTGTCTCACCACAATGCGCATCAGAGCTTAACGGAAGTTGAGCTTTCTTCCAGTGATAAACTTTAGTGTTATTTCCCAGTCCATCGCCATGGGAACAGTGCTGCGACTGTCTTCTCTGAGTTGATAGTCGTGTCCTTCAAAAGACATCTTCCACCATTCTTTATGTGTCAAATAAGAACTTTGTATCACACTGTTTCATGGAATAGT